CACTTAATTCAGAATCTAATTCAACTTCTAGATTGACATAAACGGAAAAAAATTAACTCAACATAGGAAAACATTGAGTTTTTTTATATATCTTCATCTCTCTTTCAGCATCCTCATCATCATGTTTTCTCCTCCTTTTGTTTTCTTCCTTTAAAAGTTGATCATCATTCATTTGTATTTACTCGAGTTTCTGACTTGATGATTACAATGGAAATAAACAGAATGAGGTGGAAAAAAATGTTCCATTTGCTGTTGAATTTACTACCAATTAGGAATAATCAAAGAGAGAAAAAGAATCATTTTTTTCACCGTTAACTGTTTCGACTTTAACTTGATCAGCTTTTTATGTTCCTAATTCATTAAACAACCAAATGAGTAAAAAAAGTTCTACAACAAAATTAAGGTGAAAAAAACACCTCTCGAATCTGTGATTGACTTAACCAGGTAACACTTAATTTGAACATGTTAACATAATCGATCGTTTTTTTTGTTACTTGTCATTTCAGTCGTTACAAGAACTTTTTTTTCTCATTGATAATGAGCATTTCATGTTGATTCTCATTTGCATCATAAAAGGTAAACTGATTCGCAGTTTAATATTGTGAAAATAATTAAGGATTTTACAAGAAAATTTAAATTATTCTTGATCACAATTAGCATTTTGTTTTCGATTAACTTTGTGTAAATGTTGTAAATACAATTCAGGTTCGATTCTTTTGATAGTCTTGATTGAATCGAATGAATTTTTTTTTCAAATTTCTACAGTTCCATCATCGAACTGGTCACTTTTACAGTCGATTGATCTTTCATACGAATTATTTGAAACAATAGATGGACGAGAAACGCCACCTTTTGGCTGATTTTTCATTCGACTGAGTAGATGATTAGTTCGAGATGAATTTCAATCTATTATTTAATCTTTCAGATTATCTTTCATTTCGAGATTAGTTTTTGTTTCTCAGATCTTGTTTACGATCGGTGTTTATCTTTACGGATGATCGCTCATGTTATTACAATATTATCATAATATTTACTAATATTATTTAGAAAATGAATTGTGTTTGAGGTTGTGACCGAGGAAAAGAATAGAAAACAATGGGAAAGTTATGTTAAGGAGAGAGTTCGAAATGAAAGGAGATGAAATGTTCTAAGAACTGTTATGTGGAGAGTTTTTTTTCGAATATCAGTTGGAAGAAAATTATTAGGGAGTTCGGAAGAAAGAAATTAGACAAATGATGAATGCGAAGGCGAAGGCGAGGATAGAAATGAAAAAGATGGAAGAAGATTAAAAATCTGATCACATAGATTGGATTTCGAGTTTTAAATGTATTGGGGGTGAGATTTTCTTCTTGGAACCTTAGTGATGTGAGATTATTATTGTTATGACGGAACAGAGATGAAGAGAAAGAGATATTATGTGGAAAAGAAGAAGATGAAGGTGATGGGGCGAATAGAAGAGAAAAGAAGATGGAAGATGGAAAGTTGTAAACAAAGAAACTCGAAGGGACAAAAAAAAGAAAGAAGGAGATGATGGTAGAAAGAAATAAGAGTGAACATTTAGCTCGCGTAAAACGCGTGCTAGACTAAAAATTCGCGATACATTTAAAGGTATCGAATAAGACAGATGGCTGTTCATCCATTTTCTTCCCTTTTCTCGATTTTTTTTCTTTCTGCTCTCCATCATCTTCATCTTCTTCTTGTTTTCTCTTCAGGCAATTTAACTACATATTAAGCCAATAACTCGATCCAACTCGAAATTATAATGTTCGCCCTCTTGTCATCCTCATCGTTTTCACTCATTTTTACATCACGAATGTGAATTTATGTATCATAACATTTTTAATATTTCGCCTTGTGAACATACAAAAGGGATAAACAATCATCTCGAAGATTGAAATATAATAAGATATGCAAAGTGATACATTTATTAAGGGTAAGAATTTGTGGAAAACGAAGAGAGAGAGAGAGAAGGAGGAAGATGAGGATGAAAAGAAAGAGAAAAAGAAAGGTAAGATTTGAATTCGAAAGTAATAATTTTAATCAGATCACATGCAATGTGAGATGAGAATGAGAATTGATGAAGAGAATCAATTTCCAAAAAACTGGTTAAGTTAAACTTTAAATAGATCCTTGTATTTGTTCAATCCCTCGAACTCGAACCATGCAAATAAACTCATCATTCTCTAAATTCGAATTGGCTCTTCCCTCTATCATCATCATCTTCTTCTCTTTCTTCTTCTTCCTCTTTTCTCCTTCATCCTCCTACTTGGAATTAGATATTATATACATTTAGAGGTTTGTTTTGTTGAGTTTACATTTTAGAATCCATGAAGATGATAAATTGGATCGAAAGGAGTTCGAGAAATGTTTTCTAGAGCAAATTGAAAATTATAATAATAATAATCAATTGGAATATAAAATAAGGTTAGAAAAGGTTTTTGATTGATTAAAAAGAGAGAGAGAAAAGAGAAATAATAACAAAGGTAAAAGATGAGGATGTAAAGAAGAGGATGAAAAGCGACATTTAATCAAAGTATTAATAGAAAACGTAATTTAGATGATCAACTTTTCCATTGAGAGAAGAAGGAAAAACAAAATTAATATCTAAATGATATCGAAATTAGATTGAAAATCAAATCAATTGTTTAAGATTATCAGAGTAAATGAGATAAACATGATTGTAATCAATTGTAATTAGTGTATAAACAAGCAAGTGAAAATCATAATCACAGATAATTTGATCTCAATGATTAAACAATAATTGGAATAGGAAACAAACCACAATAACAACAACACAACAACACCAATAATAATAATAGTAATAAATGTACAGTGAGGGAGGGAAAAAAAGTGCAACAGTCACTTAGCCAAATCCCCACAGGGAGTGTATCTCAGCCTTCAATTTCCTCCTCAGATTCTGATACTAGTTTTTTAGCTTCATCATCTCCCACCCTCATCATTTGAAAACATTATCCTCAACCACCTCCCTGTTCCCACTCTCCCTCTTTACATATATGTAACATATATAAAAAAAACCCCTAATGAATACTGACACTGAGCTCTATTAACACCAACCAACAAACAAGAGGGAAAAAAACTGTTCTAATATATGTAAGATTCAATGTGAACTCCCTGTGATATATGGGATGATGATGAGGATGATGAAGAAAAAAATAACAATGCTAATAAGCGGAACAAGGGAGAGGTAAGAAAATTATACCATATTTACATAGAAATGGGAACGAGTGTCACCTCCCAAGGTTAACCCAGGGAGTGGATTCTTTTTATGAATATATAATTTGAATATGAGGAGATGAGGGGTAGAAGATGATGATGATAATCTCGATGATTTAATATGAATTATGCCTGAAGAAAAGGTTAGTAAAGGGTAAAGAGCATGAAAAGAACATTACAAGTGGGGCTCATGTTTTTTTTTCTTCTCCTATTCTTTTTCTATTAATAGAGAACAATAACAAAAAAAATTCGAAAGTTTTTTTTTCCACTTCACCCTTCACCTCCTTCCACCACCACCACCACCACCGTCATCATCTTCATCATCTTCATCACCCTCACAGCATCTCAACCCTTTTACACTAATACCTTCATCTTTAACACTCTCAAGACACTTTAATCTTGTTCTGTCATTAATATACTTTTTGTGTTCTATTACTATTAATACATTTTCCTAATCTCTTGATTACAATTATATCACTTTTCTTGTTCATCTCTAATTATCACCTAATCATCTTCTTATCACATTAATTTATAAATCATTTACACTTGAGATATGATTCCTAATATTTGTATTAATCAGATTATCTTGACAATCAGTTGATTGTTGTTGTTGTTTCCTTTTCCTTTGTTAACATTAATCGTACAAAGAAAGTTGATTAACTGGATTGAATTTCAATTCTTAATTGTTAACCTTTCATTTTCATTTTCTTATATTATTAATCAACCAAATGTAATTTCAATAAAACTAATCAAAATATTAATTAATTGTAATTATAACAATTATATTGAGTCTATTAATAGTATTAAAATGGAGACTGGAAGTTTTTAATTGTTATAATGACTCAGGTAATTAATTAATTGAATCACTAGATGAATAAACAATTGAAACTTGAAAGAAAATAACAATTAACTAGTGACATCTATTGGTTCATTTAATTGTCTGTTAATTATTATGATTTGAAGATGATGATTAGTCTAATTTTGTTTGCCACAACTAAATTGTTGATTTAATTGTTTCATTTTAATTTGTGGTTTATCATTAACGTCCTTTGTAATCATTATTTTTACTAATTGTCATCCTTAATTACATTGTAATTGTTAATTAGGTTTTTTCCCTGTTAATCTTAATTGTTAATTTTAGTTATAAACAAACAATTAATTTCAACTAATAGATTACAATTAAATTGTTTCCCTATTTCTTAATTGTTATCAGTTTTTTATTTAACTTATAAAAATTTAATCTTAATCAACAAGTTAATTTACTTTCATTGAGATGATTAATTTTAAATGAGAAAATGATTTAAACAAATGAAAAATACTCACAATCAAAACCTTAATTACTTTGATGGTTTAAATTGTTGTTAATTATAATTTCCTGTTTCCAACAATCAAGGTTTCATTTATTAATAAATATGAAAATACTAATATCATAACAATTAGAATTGAAGAAAAATAAAATTTAATTATCATTTGATTTGTACAGAGGGAAAGGTGAACAATTAATGATTTAAATTTTCAATGTTAACAATTAACAATCAATCAAAATGAGAAAACTGTTCAAACACAATTGACAACAATTAACTTAACACCTTTTCTGAATATGATAAAAGTCAATTGATTAACTTTATTGACAAACTAATCAAGAAAAACTTTTAATTGTGATTAGATGAGACCAAGATTTACAAATAGTAACAATAATTAAGGTAAACAAATTGTCATGGTTATTAACCTGATTTGTTAATTGTTATTATTAACTATCAACAAAATGCCAATGTCATCATAATAAAAAAAAACAGTAATCGTCATTATCATCATTTAAATAATCAACAGTTTTAATGGTTAACATTTCTAGTTAGTTGTTAGTTTACACTTGACAATTAACACTCAACAATTAAATTGTTCACAATCAAAATCATCTGATCATCAAGTGAATCTTGCATCTTGGACTCTCTTAATTAGTGTTAATCTAAATTGTTAATCAGTTGTCCAGTTTTGTTGTTATATTCAATTGTTTGGATTGATTTAGTTTGGTGTTTTCAATTTTGTTGCTCTAATTGTTGGTTAATTGTTACGTACAACTATGGGTCTACTAATACGATTGGGTAAATTTTGTCGTAACAATTTGTTACCAACGTTAACGATGATCAGTGTAATCGTTTCAATTGGTTTGGGTATTGCTTTGCGATCGAAAGGATTTACTAATTGGACTGATCGACAATTAATGTACATTGAGTTTCCAGGGACAATTTTTTTACGATGTTTAAAGTGTCTCATAATTCCGATTATGATTACTAGTTTAATCTCATCATTAGCTAATCTGGATAACGCTGTTTTCGGTAAAATAGGCCGACGGGCCGTTGTATTTTACTTGACGACGACATTTTTATCAATCGTTTTGGGAATAATTTTAGTGATGATAATCCAACCAGGGAAAACGGATATAAACTCACCATCGACTTCATCATCATCATCATCATCATTAGAATCATCTGTAGATATTAAAATGACAACAATTGATACGATTCTTGATTTACTGAGAAACATTTTCCCAGCGAATCCAATTGAAGCGACAATCTATTCAACTCGAACTGTCCTAACCAAGCCCGAAGATGCTAATGATACTTACAACAACGATATGTATTTATGGCCTTACAAGGAAACTCTTGAATCTAATACAAATATCATGGGAATCGTTACAATATCGCTAATTGTTGGTATTGTTATCGCTAAACTTGATCAATCAGCTGAACCATTGAGATTGTTTTTCACTTCATGCAATGAAGTTACCATGTTCATCACAACTTTTATAATTAAATTAACTCCAATTGGTGTTTTCTTCCTGATTTTACCAAGAATTTTATCCGTTGATTCAGTTGAATTGCTTTTACAAACCGTTGGCTGGTACACATTTACCGTTATCTTTGGTATCTTACTTCATGGATCACTATTGTTACCCTCAATATATTTCATTCTGACCCGAAAGAATCCATATAAACTGATCATGCAATTATCGGCAGCACTTTTAACCGCCTTTGGGACATCATCAAGTACAGCGACACTTCCGGTAAGTTAATATTGACCCTCAAGTGACCAAGTGAATTTTAACCAAAAATTTTGGTTGCCCCTTGAATACAGTTAACGATGAAATGTCTCGAGGAAAAGGCCGGAATCGATCCAAGGATAACTCGATCATTATTACCAATCGGTTCCGTCATCAATATGGATGGTACAGCCTTATACGAAGCGGTTGCCGCTCTTTTTATTGCTCAATCACGAAATGTTGACCTAAATTTAACCAAAATAATTGTCACAAGTGTAACTGCAACAGCGGCTTCAATTGGAGCTGCAGGTATCCCTCAGGTATGAATAATTTAGATGATAACAATTGGAAGAAATGATTTCTCATTGAATTATTCATTTGTCTTTTTCAGGCTGGTTTAGTTACCATGGTTATCGTCCTGAATGCTCTGGGTTTACCTGCTTCCGATATTTCAATGATTTATATTGTCGATTGGTTCCTTGATCGACTACGAACTCCGTTAAATGTTATGGGCGACTCGTTTGGTGCTGCAATTGTCGCGCATATAAGTGAAAATGATCTGAGAAAAATAGATGAAAGAAATAAAATCAATTCTAATTCAGTTTATTCACTTTCGCATCATAAACCATCAATTTCAATGATAAAATCGGTAAATAATCAACAAACATTTCGGCAAGAAATTAATCAACCTGATAATCAATCAAATAGTAACAATTTTGAGCTTAAATTAAGCAACAATTAACTAATAATAACAATTTTCTTCAACAATATTGAGAAATTTAAAAAAAATCAATTTTCCGATTTCTCTTATAATCAAGATACCAAATGTTTGCTCATTTAAAAATGTTAATTGTTTACAATTTAATTTTCTACTTATAATAAACACTCTTGTAAATTACAATCTAAAGCACACACAATTAACCAATCTCATTTCTGATTTAATCATCATTGAGAAAACAATATATAAATTGTTTGCTTTTCAACAAATTTGACTTTTGATCTTTCAGTTGAAAGCAAAGTCGCAACAATTAACTGATTTGTTACCATAAATTGATACCATCTAATTAAACATAGTGATAATCACTAAGTCGGCTAATTTTCCAGTAATCAAATTTAATGACAATCAAATTAACTGTTTGATGAAAGGGAAACAAATGATCAACATTGAATATCATCATCATCTCATAAGATTAAACTAAAAGCTTTGCCAATTGATACACTCACTAAGTAAATCTACTTGTGAATATTTAATAATAGATATTTGAAAAAGTCGAAGGTGGGAATTGAGTGAGCGGTGGAAAAGGGTTCAGGGTGGGAATTGTGAAGATTAATAAACAAAAAGTGATCTTATTATGAGCTAATAACACTCTCGATGTTAATAACATGAAGACTATTAAGTAAATACTTTTTCTTCCTCCTCATCCTCATCTTCCCCTGGGTGAGGGTTGGGATTTTTTATATTCTAATCCAATTCTATCTTCATTTATCATTATCATCATTATCATCCTTTTGTTAATAGAATCATTTTAATGAGAAACTATTAATTACTTTTGAATATGAGATGTGATTTGGTTGATGTTTTGATTGTTCAACTTTTGAAAACTTTATTATGTTGAGTGTGTCTGTGTATTTCTGGTATAACAATTAGTTATTATGATAATTTAATGATTAAATTGTCAATGATTAATTGGATTTTTTCTTTTCAAAATTAGATCATTTAGAAAACAATTAATCATTAATTAGTTAACTTTTATCAATCTTTGTGTTGATGTAAAATTATATCGAGATTAAAGTGATTAATTCTGATCTCTGTCATTGGACGTAATATATTGGCTCTTTTGATCCGCGGAATAATATTTTTCGCATTGATTCTGTGGTTTGAATCTGGAATTCTGTCCTGAAGAATGAGGTAAGATTTCATAGATGATTAAACAGGGAAAAGTTAATTCTATTTTGAACTATTAGAAAATCAAAAGTACCGAATGTGGTTGATGATGATAAAGACGATGAGGATTCTAGTGGGTAAATAAACTTTGAATGTCCAATTTAACCAATGATGAAATTGATTTCCCTGTTTATTTAAACTCTTAGATTATATAATTTCTCACTTTTGCTAATTAATTGGTGTGAGAAAGTTATTTTTATAATTATAGTCAGTTTGTTTAAAATCGATGGAATAAAAAATGGTTAACCCCTTGGTTCATCAACTTTTAGTCAGTTTTAAAGTTAATTGTTGCCACTAACGATTTAGTTTTTATCAATTCAATTTAATAATTCTTCTCATTTAAAAGAAAATCAACATCCAAATTATCTCATTTTGTATTTAACTTTCGGTCTGAACATTTGAATAATTGTCAATTTTTTCTTATCTGATAATTTTTAAAGTTTAAATTTTTCCATATTTTTATTAACTTTTTAAGCTCAAAATGAATCCTCTTGTACATTACCGAACACTGAACCATCGAAGGAATAATCCCCTGGAAACTACAGGGCTATTCAGCTATTTTTACGATATTTTGTGCGATTTTCTCAGCAACTAAGAGTCATAGGGACTCATGACTTGAGTGGTACGAGTTTGAGCTATAACTCATTGTCATATCCAAAGATCAAGGTCATTCAGGTCATTGTTGGAAGAAAACGTTCCTAGGTCATCTGAAGGTAATTCAATAGTAAAATGTTCAGAGATTCTACTAGAAGTTTTGAGGTTTCTATGATTTTTTCAATGCACGTTGCAATTTATTGAATAGAAGATTTGTAACAATTATTCAAATAAACTGTAACATCTCAAGACCTGTGACAACAATCTCTAAACTCAGTTGCTGAGAAAATCGCAAAAGCCACCGGTAAATATAGCTTAATAGCCCTGATCAATCTTCTAATATCATCATTAATTAATTTGTTTACATTTTAAAAAAATCAACACCATGGAGATAAACAAAACTTCAATGGAGACTTGAAAATATTTTGGTTAACCTAACAACCTAAAAGAGCGCGAAATTCAAATTTGATTTTTTTTCTCAAAAAAAGAAAAGAACAATCTCTCTCAATTTTTAATCTACTTTTGTATTAATACTATTTCTTTTTGTTATTAGAGATTAATCTTATCAAATGATATCCCATTTGCGACGGATTTAATTACTTCAAGGCTCGGTATCAACTCTACTGATGGTCGGGATAATGTCGTCTCATTATTGGGTCAATTCAAGAACATTACCCAATTTATATCTACTGATGGTCCATCGATATTGCAAACAATTGACACTTTTCTACGAAAACTCAAAATGTACATGGAATGTATCGAATTGGATAAATTGGAAGCATATGAAAGTGAAGATGAAATGGTTCGTCGTGGTGGAGAGTTTCTCTCTTAATTTCATTCTCTTAAATTCTCTTGTCTAATACAGTAAGTGTAAGTGAAAGTTAGTTTGTATCTAAATAGAATTTGAATTAATGATTCCAATTAATTGAGATGCATATCAGGTATTGTTTGTGATTGTTTTCCAATCAAGAATTGAAATGGTAAAGTCATTATGAAATGTGATCGATTGAAAAGATTTCGATCAGTTTTCTGTATTCAACTTTAGTTTCCAAAACAGAAAGAACTCTGAATTGTGGCATGAAAATGAAAGCGAAACCAACCCAAGTTATCAACAAACGAGGTGCTTTATGGAAAGCGTTTCGTCAGTCGTTGGTGTTTACCAATGATCAACTGATTCCTTTCATCATCTGTTGTTTAGGTGCGTTAACACAGGTAACAGATCTATTGGCCATTTATTTTTCATTCCAAACGATGACCCTGATCAATTTGTATAGTCCAATGTTCATCAGTCTACCTGCTGTCTCTTTGTGCTACAAATATGATCTCAACGAGAATTTGGTAAGACAGAAAGTGTCCCGATTCAATGAATCGTTAGAAATCGATATCGATGAGCTGAGATTCAATTTAACTTTGGGTGAACTAAATGATGTCACACCTACAGCCGAACAACTTGTAACTGATTGTATCGTTGCTAATTCATCTTTGCCGATCTTTGGTGGAGTTAATTATGTCGATTGTTTCAGTGTAGCGCCAGTAAAGGTTAATCTGAATGCTCATCGAAAGTGTTTCACTTTCTTTCATGGCAAAGAATCACCTTTCATCTATCCAAAGAGCATCTTCTATGATGAATACTTTTTAACTTTTATCGTTAATATAAGTATCACTTCTCATCCATATTTTCAGATGATCATTCATGATACAGACACGAAAGTCTCTCTCAACTATGGTAGCTCTGAAATGATCACCATGGACACTAATCGATTCAATGACTTTGTCTTCACCTATTATACAGAACAGATCATGGGAATGGAATCTCCTTATTCAAATTGTTTTCTCTATCATGATAAAAATGGTAAAACTAAACACGATACAATCAAAGAGTGTATATTCAATTCAATTTATGGTGATTATCGAGCATTCGAGGATAATATTCTTGTTCAAATTCCTTTCGAACCTGATAATGTTTCATTTGTCAGAGGAATCAGAGCGACTCGTTACCGATCTCATTGTGAAATTCAATATGATAAACCCGAATGTCGAACTAAATCTTATCAATTGGTTCTATTAAGATCATTAAATAATTCTGACTACAATTTGATTCATGGACCTGGAATCATACAAATTATGTTTGGTTATCCCATTGGGTCGCAAATTAATGTCACCATGCAACCTAAACAAGATACACTCGAATATTCATGTTATATCGCAAGTATTATCAATTTGTGGCTCGAAATATCAGTTCTTGGTGTCGTACAATTTGTTTTCAAACAAACTCGAAAAATGGCCATGAAATATCTTTCGAAGTGAAACAAAATCAGTTTAATTGATGAAAAGTTTAAGATAATAATTGTTTAGTTGATGGTAAATTGTTCTTTTCATAAACATTAACCTTCGAGTTGATTAAGTGTCTATGAAAAAGGAAAAGATTTTCTTCTCATCTTAATATCAATTCTATTAATAGAAATGAAGCGAATTTTTTTTTTTTCCATGAGAGAAGAAGTAAAATTCTGTGATTTAGGTTTCATCCATTTTATCTTCTTTCATTATGGAAGATTCAATAAAAATATTCATTCGAAGGTAAATTATTGTCGTAATTTTATGAATGATAATACATTTGGTATTCTTTTATTATTCCATTGAAATGATCTTCTCTGGTTTCTCATTTCCATAAACTCGAGTTATCCAAGGTGTAAATGAAACTTGAAGATGTGATATTGTCTTAGTTGTAAATCAGTCTAATTCTCCATCAAAATAAAAAAGAAGACGAAATTGTCTCCCATGGAAAGATTGCCAATTTCCATTGGTTCCCTCGTCATGATGATGGCATCTAAAGGCAACACCTTATACATCTGAATTCAGCTTTTGCTGATCCAAAAACCACCGAATCACGAGTTTTTTCACAATTTTGCCAATTCCCCATCTTCATACATTTCTTGAATCATCTCCCTCATCTTATAAGCGACTCATTTCTGTCATTCTTAATATTCTCGCTTTATATTAAATTAAAGTTTAATCCATTTTGTATCATGTAGCTAAATATCTTGTTCAATTCAGTGATTCAGTTGAGTGTTTTTCTTGTGTATCAACTGTTTTCAAACCTTTTCTTGCTCTTTTCTAACACCATATTGACCTAAATGTGGCGTTACGGTGATCCCGGTTCTATGCGAAGTGACAAAAGAAGAGGTTTAGGAACATACAACCACGACAACAAGAGAGGTCGGAAATTTGGCTTCAAAGGTGGACTACATGGTGTTCATGGTAGAGGTTGTCACACAAACACATCAAGCTATCGTAAACAAAGTATAAAAGAATCAAATTCATCTCGATCATCTTCATTCAAATCATCTTTTAGAAAACAATATTCATTTCGAGGTAAACATGTGAAAAACTTTCAATCGCTTGCCTTGAATGAACAATTAATGTAAATATATTATTATCACATTAAGATAATCGTCGATCAGTTTAAAACAAATGAAGAGTTCGAAACAGGGCTAATGTTTTATCTTTACTTGAGTATTTGGAGCAAATTCAAACTTGACAGAATCTGAATCAGCTGAAAACGTCAAACAAAACGATTCTTTGGTAGAATCATGAATTTGACAGATTAGAGCAACGATTCAGTCTCTTTGTCATTTACAATCAAACTAATTGCTAATTCAATTTCGATTATCTAGCCACACCTCCACCAGATTCATTCGATGATGATGCCGATTCTGATCCACCTTCATTGACTGAAATGAATCTAATCCAAGGCTATGAAAACACTAAATTCACAGCAAGTAAGTCTTACTCTAATCAACTAATTTCGTTGATTATCTGTGTGAAAAATGATTAAGGAAACATTATTAATCTTTCATCAACTTTTCGCTTTCTCAACTAATACATGTACTTATGAAATGGATAAATTCAACTGAAGAAGCCAAAAACTGTTTACTTAATCATAATTAGCCCTGTTTGTGAGCATGTTAAAGACTTAATAATTAAATTAAACTCTGTAAATCAACTAGTCTAGTTACAAAAAAAACTCTTGATAATATTGTCAGTAGTTAGTCCTGCTAGTACAAGTTGGTTTATGATGGTATACAATTATTAATAGTTGATTAGTTGAATCTAATTGTTGATGGAAGGGCAATTCTCAGCTTACCTTAATCGTTGTTCACCCAATAGTTTTGGTAAATCAGGTAAAAGTCGTATTTATCTCAATTCTTATCAAATTTGTATTTTATAAATAAATTTTCTCGATTTATCTTAGTAAATATACCACCACCTCAGCCTTTTATCACCAATACACCAGTACATGACCTCGTGCCATTGAGATCGTCAGTTTCTGGGTAAGTCAATTCACTGTTCTTTAACATAACAATTCTGTTCAAATGAGAACTTGGTTCGTGAAATTAACCTCGTTGCTAGTTAATAAATGGTTTCTTTGAATAAAAAGTCGTGAAAAATGAGTTTCGAATGAGTTTTCAACGATTCGCGTGAGAAGTGAGTAAAATTGTGGTGAAAATGATGGAAGAGAATAAGGGGATTGTGGATATTAAGAAAAGGTGCCAAAGATGTTTCGCTTGGAAACTTTAAGACATTAATAGAACTTTGAGAGCAGCTTCAATTGATTAATAAGCTGAATAATTGAGCTTAAATTTCGAGGCAACGGAGTTGCAATTTTGTATTAAGGAAAAAGATGCAAAAAGAGGCAGGAATTGAAAGGAGAAAAATAAACACAATCTCATGTTTGTTTTCCAGAATAACAGAAACAAATGAACAAGATGCACGTGAAGCTCTAGTTAAATATGTTTCATCGCATTATTGTTATGGCAAAGGAGTCGCTAAGAACATGATCATCACCAAGATGGATCATTATAACGCTTATCATGTAAGTTTAAATAAAATCTAAGAAGATTTTACTTATCATTTTTCACCCTTATTCAAGTACTCACTTGAAACTTTTACTGAGAACAGATCAATTTGTTGGACTTACGAAGCTTATATCGGAGGTCATCTTGATGGTCCAATATCTGGCCCGGCCCCCCAACCGTGGGATATTGTTGTTGACCCTCCAAAGGCTTTTGATTGTCATTCAATATCTTTGCCTGTCCCTCATACTGGTTGTCTAAGAAACTGTCATACCTGCGGAGGTGTTGGACGAAAACGTTGTTATACTTGCATTGGAACAGGTTGGGTAAGGTTGAATTTAGAGCTAATCGTTCAATGGAAAGTATAAATAATCAGCATTTCGATTAATTAATATCTTAGGAAAATTGTTATTCTTGTTCGGGAGATGGATACAAACCGCATCCTTTTGTCCAAGGCAATACCGAGCGATGTTTCCATTGTCATGGCATCGGTAAGAAAAAGTGCTACCGATGTAACGGCGATGGGATGAGTAGCTGTAAAATTTGTTCTGGAACCGGTCAGATCAAATGCTTTATTAAATTGAAAGTTAATTGGTAAGTCATGTTTGAATTTTTAGCAACTTGAACTAAATAATTATGATTTCTGGTTAACCTCAGGATCAATCATGTTGATGATTTTTTCATTGAACACGAAGATATTCCCGTTGATTTGCTTAAACAAGTGACCGGTCAGATTGTTTTCGATGAAACAAGTGAAAAAGTAAGCGCAATCATCGATGGACAGTAATTACTTATTCACTCGAACAATTTATTCAATTTTGCCCCAAGGTTTGGCCAATTGACCATTTTCCTGAAAACGTTATCAACAAAGCGAGTGCTGATTTACTGAGCAAACATGTCAACTCGTACTTTTGCCAAGAGAAACCTTTGATTCAGGTAGATCCAAGTGGAAACAATCAGTTGATTTTAATATTTTCATTTACTTTTTATTAGAGACAAAGGATCTATCGTATTCCAATAAGCAGAGTCACTTATTCATGGCGGAACAAATTAAGAAAGTTCTGGGTCTACGGAAATGAAAGGAGTGTCCTGGCACCCGATTATCCACAAAAATATTGTTGTGGGTGTACAATCAGCTGAGATGTTTAAGTTTTTGTACCAACAATTTTTCTACCACAAATACCAAGAAATTGCCAATAAATTAATGTTTTCATCAACGAAAAACTGGATTACAATATCGGGTAATAATCCATTGAATCGGTTAGTGAAACTCAAATTATGACCAGAAAATTAGTAATATTCACATTTCTAAATTCATTGTGATCCAACTTTTAATTACATCAGTCAAATTAGATTGTCAATGATTTTGTGAAGGGATTCAATGAGCATTAATGGTTGCCTATTGTCTACTGTTTGACTCTCAAATCGCTTGGAGAGTAATTATCAACTAACAAATCATGTGTGACTTTATTAATTTGAATCATTAAATCAGCTTAAAATTTGAAAACGAAAGTGTAGTTGAGAGTATCAATCAATAATGAGATCTAAACTTGACTTGAGGAAGTACAAGATAAATTGAGCCTCTCATATGAAAATTGATTAATCCATTTGATTAATCAATATCATCCAACCGAATCGTAATATTTCAATAATTAGATTCCCGTTGTTTAATTGATACAAATTAAAACTGACAATAATTATCATCTGTCTTAATATTCATTTCCCAATCATGGGTTTGGTGGACTTGACTCAATTATCATGATTATAAAAGTTTTCTCAGAATAGTTTTTAATACAAAAAAAAGAGATTGTATTTAACATGAAAAGTTGATCAGATCACTTAACCATCACATCGATGAACAATTAATGATCAGGATATCATCATGGCTTATATATAAGACGAGCCATACAGTCAATTGAATCAATATCCACTCGAAAGTGCAATCATCAACTTTATCATTTCAAACTTATTGTTTCAATAATCTTTTTTTTTTGAGTTGATATTCAAATGGATGAAATTAAATGTTTCGTTTTTTGCTGCTTAGTTGTTGTTAGTATTCACTCAGTTTCGGCAGGTCATAAAGGTGGACATATTATCATTGCCGGTGGTGGAAGTGGGCCACCTTCTCCACCTCAACCTGTTCCTTTCCCAGTTCCAGTTCCAGTTCCAATTCGACACCCTGTTTATATCCCTGTTGGTGAGTAATATTTACATCAAACATTTTTCATCATAGTAATTTGTTTTCCTCGCTACAGTTAAGCATATCCCTTATCCTGTAACAAAGCATATCCCGATCCATGTTCCCGTTCACGTTCCTGTTCATGTGCCCATTAAAGTTCCAGTTCATATTCCGTAAGTATTGATAATTGTTGGTCCTTTGAAATTAATACTCAAATTGATTATTTATCAACAGGGTTAAAGTTGAGAAACATTATGAACATCATCACGCAGGTTGGTCTCATTTTGATGGAAATACTTTCGGTGAGGACGACCTTTATGACCACAATTATAAAGATGGTTTGGGGATCGGCTTTGGCAATAGCGATCATTATGGTTACCAATCTTTAAAATGATCATTTTCCATCATTCACTCAAATGATGAATTTACAAAACTCGCAATAAAACGTTTATTTGATTACAATTATTTGTAGAATTAATCACTTTATTCCGAGCAATAAGCTTATCGGTGACTTTTCACTGCGCGATGTAAACCAAATATCAAGCAATTAAGTGAAACAATATCGATGATGAAGTACAAAACTCCGTCTCAGCGACATCATTGGCCTTATCAAGGATGAAACTAGATAGAAAATGAGTAATAAAAAAAAGAGAGATTCAATTGACTATTGGGAAATCGATTGATCAACAATATGTGATGTTGGCGGTGATTAATTGTTTCAACTGTTTTTCAATTGTCTTACCTGTAAAATAAAACTCGGGTCCAGGGGCCATAATTTTAAGAGGTTAGTATGATTAAGGAAAACTGGATCAGTCCCAAGTCATTTAATATAAGGTACAACAGTTGAATTTCGTAGGATCAGGTCTTTAATGTCCATCATTTTACAATCATCTTTATTTACTCAAGTAATTTGTTCATTGATAACATCAAAATAATCATGAAATTGCCAATCAAATTGATGACAATTTACCAAAGCAATGGAGATCAATAAAACAACATAAGATAAGTTGTTCATCTTCACAAATTGATGATAACCAAACGAAAACAAATGAACAATGATGTCGGCAACAATTAAACAAACAAATAGAATCTCAATTAAAGAGATAAACTCTCGATTAATTAATTTGTTTACATTTTAAAAAAATCAACACCATGGAGATAAACAAAACTTCAATGGAGACTTGAAAATATTTTGGTTAACCTAACAACCTAAAAGAGCGCGAAATTCAAATTTGATTTTTTTTCTCAAAAAGAGAAAAGAACAATTTTTTACTTATTCTTTTTTCTGTTCTAGCTCTGTGATTTTTTTTCGATTTCAAGTTGAAAAATGACAAGAACTTATCCTAATTGTGACGAATTTAGAGCCGAGAGAGAGAAAAGTCATGTTCTGGTTGGATAGAATGAAGAAATTACATCAAGTTGGTAAACTTGTTAATCTCTTGATTTGAAAGATAATTAAGTCATTCAGTGTAAATGGTTAATAAACAAACGTCTAAAAAAAGCAAACGAAAAGTGAGCTAGAGTGAGAGAGAGAGAGAAGAGTAAGTGTAAGATGAGAATAAGATGAAGATGAGGATGAAAATACATGAGAGAGAAGAAGAAGATAATTTTCTCTCCAGACAAAATATTCTTCTCATTAACTTCCTTAGTAAACATTGAATTTCCATGAAAGAAAACTCGATGATTAAAACTCGCTGGTCAACAATCGAAGTAAGTACAAAAAGTTCTAATCAAAATTGTTCGAAAATTTTCTACACCCAAATCGAAAAATAGAAGAAAAAAAATCGGTATTTCTCTAATTCCATCTAATTTGATTCTCCATTCTTTCCCTTAGGTAGATGAACAGTGAAGAAACGAGTAGAACATACAAACCGTCATTGGCCTTATATCGGCCTCCAAATGCTCGAACCAAATTTCTATCAAGTAAGTTGATAATCTAATCAGAAAATTATTCTTCCCACAACAATTAACAATCTAAATCTGCATGTGTACTTGACTTGCAGCTAAACAATTAACAACAATTGCCACCCAACTGAGCTCAATCATGTTTACTTTAAGCTCATCATCACTTATCATCAATCTCATGTAGTCTCTTGATTTAAATACACAATTTGTTGCTTGTCTATTGTTTAATTCACTTTAAATTAATTGCTTGATCTTTATGTGTATATATTATATTTCTGTGTACCAAAAATTAGCATCTGATTAATCATATTTAACTGCCTGGTTATTACTTTGTGTCTTCATCTGTCATCATCATCATCGTCATATAAAAAATTGGATTAATTGTGTTTCTTAATTATTTCCCTTGTTAATCAACACGATGAATTTACAAGGAGCTTCAACCTTATCACATATTCAATCATCTTCATCTTCATCTTCCTCATCATCATCGACGGAAAAAATCGTTACCCATGAAAAGTGACCTGAGAAGGTCCAAAAGTTTTGGATCAACCGATTCACCGAATGGTAAAATTTTCAATCTCACTGATTTTAATCTTACCACTGAACAGATTATCCTAATTAAAAGGGCAATTGATAATCCAAACAACCTAACGGTTAACCAATTGATGGAAATCGTTAGTATCATTTGCTCAAAAGCAATGGAATCGTCAATGAACAGTTATGGTTAGCTAAAATTTGTATTACCATCGCCGATAAAGACGCTAATCAAATATTTCTTGAATCGTTGGTTAATTGTTGTCGTGAATGGTTTAATGAGAAAGATAAGTTGATTCGATCGACTTCAATTGGCTCCCAACATCCGAAACAAAGATGGCTCTCATATATCGCTTTCGTTACTGAACTTTATCTTAATCTTAAATCGAAACATCGTCGAGTCAAACTAATCCTTTCAACGAGTAAAAGTAAAAGTTGTAACAATGTTCATTTGGACAGTTTACCGGAAGAAGATTCTGAAGATGAAGATGGAGATGAAACTGAGAAAGCAGCTGATGGGAAACGTGAGGAAGATAAAGATAATAATGATGATGAGGAGGATGATGAAGATGATGAATCAGATTCATCGGAGGAACTTTTCAATTTAAGTGAACGACAATCTCGTAGTTTGGCTATGTTATTGTACGATTGTTGTCAAACCATTTTGGTCTCATTACCAACATCCAACTCAACTTCAGTTGATATTGAGTGTTTACTTAGTGTTCTAAGGTCAGTTGGTCGGCTAATCGAACGAGAAAATGTCCAAAGAATGAACAAAATAATCAACCTTATAAGGGAATCTTATCTTGGCCCTTTGTCGAGTAAATTGACAGCGATGAGCCTTAAATCACTTCTCGAACTGATTGAATTTCGATGTAGCCAATGGCAGTTTAATCAGGCTCAACAGATTTACTATTATCCATACACTAAACCATCACAATGATGATTTAATTGTTCACAATTAAAGAAGAATCAAAGAAAACTCCGAACGAACGAACAAACAAACAAACCCAAACAATTAAAATCCATTGTTTTTCTATTAATTGTTCACAACGAATTTCTAACAACAACAAAAAAAATACATAAATCAATGGACAGAATTAACGAGAAAATTAATTTACAAACGAAAACGAAATGTTAACTTTTCCCTTACCCTTTAATTGTCAACAATTTAAAAATTTTCCTTCAATTAACAACAATTGTGAAACAATTTTCTATTCATAATAATATTCCCTCAATTCATCAAACAGATGAATGGAACATCATCAAACCGATCAAACTTTATATCCACAACAATTTAGTAATCATAAATAAAATTCTCTTAATTGAATCAAAATCAAGAAGAAAAACAAATTTCGATTTACTTTTAATCGAATCCAAGAGATGGCGACACAAACAGAAGAATATGAGTCGCGATCGTTGAGTCTAAGCAAGTTGATTCTCTCTCAATTCCCCTTTTAATTAAGTAATTTCTCAGATAAATTTCACCGGTGCTCATGCAAAGGTGATATAAATCAAAGGTAAGCAGTTAAGTGAACAAAACAAAACCCAAATGAACAACACTGAAAACGAACACAGAACCAAACAATTTGCTTTCATAAACTCTCACAGAAATTGAAACGTCTCATTAACAGTTAATCAACTTCTTTTTCCGATCCAGGTAATTTCTCCAAAATTTTCTATTCAAACACTTAAACATAACAATCTGTAAATCTTTCAATCTGTAAACTATTATTATTATCATGTAAATTGGTTCTCTTTTGTATCCTACGCGGTTGAACATGCGACCGCTCGAGGGCAGCACTTGGATCCTGCTCAGTCTAAGACCGTAAAGGTCCCTCCTTATAGAGAAATGAAATGTTTGTGTTTAAATGATGAATTCAATGTTTTCATTTTAATGAATCAATTGAATGAATTTTTGGTCTCGTCTAATTGTAGAAATTGTTGAGTGTTAATTACAATTAGCAATTATTATTATTGATCATTTTGATGGGTCATCATTCTCATCATTCTCATCTGCTTGGTCAAATTAATTATGATTTTGAAGATGATGCTAATAAACTCAAATGGAATAATCTATTTGTTAATAGTTTAAAGGAGGTAAGTTATCATTTTTTTCTTTTCTACTTTACTCTTGTTAGTCTTTCTGTCTCTTTCTCTTTTACCTCCCTCTCTCTTTCTCTCTTGCTTTTTTTCTCTCTCTCTCTCTTCTTACTTTCCAATATACATGTATTTCTCTCTTTCTCTCTAAATGATTCTGTCCACGGAAAAAATTTCACACATTTTCCTTACTCTTACTGATTGCAATCTTTTTCTTTCTTTCTCTCTCTTAATTCCATTTTCTTAAATTCTCTTGTCTAATATTCTCTCTCTTTCTATCTTTCTTTTTTTCTTTCTTTCTCTTTCTCTTGTTTTCTAACAGATTTTATTCTCAGTTCATCCTGAATTGGATGCTGCAGATGAAGCTTTATTCTTCATCGAATCATTAATATTTAAGCTTCTACGACTGTTAATCAGTAACAGTCCTCGGAATGTGCAAGAGTTGGAAGAAAATGTACTCAAATTGTTTCCTTCTCCTATCGAGAAATGGGCCACTATTAAAGCTCAAAATGTTCTACAGGAATGTTATGATGTGCAATGTAATCCAAATTCAACGCCTTCATCATCATCTACAACAAGTGGTGGTAAAAAGAAAAAATTACTTCTGGTCAATATTCCCAATAATAACAATAACAATATCAACAACAATCGTGATCCCTTAGGTAATTGTCCCCTTAAAACTAAACACAGCATTGAAAAGATGCACGATCTATTATCAAAGGAAGTCTTCCCTTATCGGATTGAGATGCCATTGACCATTTATCTTTGCAGTTTGGTTGAATATATTGCAGCTGATGTACTCAAATTGGCTGGAAATTATGTTAAAAATATTCGTCATAATTTTATTAATGCACAAGATGTTAAAATTGCCATTAACGCGGACAAAGTGCTTATTGATCTGCTTTATGGTGAAGAAGATGATTATGAAAGTAAAGAAATGTCAAATTTGGGTATAATATGGGAAGAAAGTGCCGAAGATGGTACAGATGATGAAGGTGTTTCATATGATATTGTGGCAAAAGAATTGATTCATGAGGAGAAACAATTCCTACGAGATTTAAATCTGATAATCAAAGTTTTCCGTGAACCATTTATCAAATTATTACAAAATTCACCTTCATCATTGCCAAATACACCAACCTCACCAACAAGTCAAGAGGAGAAACCATTAATTAACGATAAAGATATTGATGATATTTTCTCCAATATAATTGATATTTACGAGTTTAGTGTTAACTTTCTTGGGCTTGTTGAAGATGCCATGGAAATGAATGGTGGTGAAAACTCTGAGACCATTGGTATTGGAATGTGTTTCGAGGAGATGGCAGAAAACGTTGAATTTGAAGTATTTGAAAGATATACACTTGATATGCTGCGACAAGAAGATAATTCAATTGAACCGGTGCCCAAACTGCGATTGGTTTCATTATTACGTCAACAGTCAATATTTAACGTTCTGGACACTGCTGGACACAAGTTTATCCTTTCCGCCAAGTACATTTTACCCAAATTATTATTATGTCCAGTTATTCATTGTCTTCACTATTTTGATTATATGAGACTATTAATGAGCTTGGCAACAACGGAAGCAGATAAAGAAAGTTTCAAACAAACGGAGGGCTGCCTAACACCCTTACAAAAGCAGATCAATGAGGCAACACGTAATCGTAATTTAAAAATATACGAAGGTTATTTACGTTTAAATCGAAGTAATCAGCGAACAAAAAACAAGCGTAACATTTTAAATAAGAAAATAATGGACCTGAAACGTTGTATCGAAGGATTTGATTTATCTAGTCTTGGTTGCAATGAATTTATAATCGATGGTTATCTTCAGAAAGTTCGTAAAAATGAGCGTAAAACCCTTGGTCGACATGAGAGTAAACTTTTCTGCAGTGAACGTTTCTGTTTCCTATTTGATTCCGTTTTATTGGCCTGTAAACCGATTGCCAAGGAGAATCAAGATTCCGTTCAAAGATATCGTTTAAAGGAAAAATTTTTCATCTGTAAAATTGAGATTGTTGAATCGGATCTTGATCCATGTGCATTTGAAATTGTCTCATCTGCATCTAAAACAAATAATTTTGATTCTAATCGTGGTTCCATTTTTTTAACCAAAAGCCTTGAAGAGAAAGATATTTGGATATCAAATCTATTATTACTCTCAAGGAAAACCATTCTTGAACGTACACTTGATTCAATATTAGCTGAAGAGGATAAAAAAAATCCATTACGACTTCCATCACCCAAGGATTACATATTTGCAGAAAAAGATACCGATAGTAATATTATTTTTGAAACTAGTTGTAATAATAAGATGTCCATTAAGGGTGCCACACTTAATAAGCTAATTGAAAGATTAACTTACCATCAGCCAACGGATACAATGTTTGGTAAAACTTTTCTAACAACTTACCGATCATTTTGCTCTCCCCAGCAATTATTAACCCTTCTAATACAACGGTTTGATATTCCGTTGGACGTTATGGACAGGGAAGGATGGTCACGAAATGAGGTGAAAAAGTTTAAAAAGGAATACCTTGAACCGGTTCAATTTCGTGTAATTAATGTAATTAAACAATGGATTGATGCTCATTTTTACGATTTTGAGAGAGATGATCAGCTACTTGAATCTTTACGATCATTTTTAAAGGAGAAAGTATCAAAGGAGAAAAGTAATGTTGTCAAATGGGTTCAAACATTATCCAATATGATCTCAAGGAAGCAACAGAAACAATCGAACAAAAATTCTGAGAATAAAATTCTATCTGAAGTACCACCACCAATTGAATACTGGCTGGCCAATGGGAAAGAAAATAATGACTACGAATTAAGTATAATGACCATTCATCCATTGGAATTTGCAAGACAATTAACTTTATACGAGTTTGATCTTTATTGTGCTGTCCAACCCTCCGAGTTAATTGGATTAAAATGGATTAAAGAGGGTAAAGAAATTAATAGTGCCAATCTGTTGAAAATAAGTCGACATTCAAATAATTTTACCTATTGGTTGGAAAAGGAGATCGTTGAAACGGTCAATTTTGAGGAAAGGGTTGCCCTTATGAGCCGAATTATTGAGATCATGCAAGTTCTTTCCGATTTGAACAATTTCTCTGGAATCATTGAGATCATGTCAGCCCTTGAATCGGCTCATGTTCACCGTTTGGAACATACTCTTAATGCTCTTCACCCAAAGCATAAAAGATTAATCGACGAGATGAGAGATTTAAGTACCGATCATTATAGAAAATATTGTGAAAGATTACGATCAATTAATCCACCCTGTGTACCATTCTTTGGATTATATCAAACGCAAATATTACACTTTGAAGAAGGTAACAATGATTATATCGATGAATCAAAGGGATTGATCAATTTTAACAAGAGAAGGAAAATCGCCGAGATAACAGCTGAGATTCAGGGTTATCAGAATCAACCATATTGTCTTTTAGTTTGTCCAGAGATTCGAGAATTTTTTGAAAGTCTCAATCCAATTGAAGAAGGTAAAAGTGAGAAAGAGTTTAATGATTACCTTTACGAGCAATCACTTCTAATTGAACCTCGAGGATCAAAACAGCCAACCAAAGGTATTCGAAGATGGCCTCATCTTCCTACCCTTAAATCACCAGGTATTAAACCATCATCATCAATTTCTCATAATGCACCTCATCCAACCTCTCTACCAACATCAACAAGTATGGCCAATCATCCACAAAGTACATCTTCATCTAATCCAACCTCACCAACCCTAATATCACCGAAAACACCACCATCAACAACTTCCGATACTTCGGTTTTTGCAAATGTGATCATTGGAAATTTACCTACACCAGCACCAACACCACCACCAATCATTTCATCTTCAACGATCACACCACCACCAATACCACCAAGAACTCGTAATTTTCACCAAAGGACAAACTCAGAGTCTTCGGTTACAAGTGCAACCGTTTCACCAACAGCAACCACACCTTTAACCCCATTTTCATTTAATTTTGCATTACCCAATGTACCACCACCACCACCACCACCTCCACCACCTCCCCGAGTGCCAAGACCTAATTCAATTCAACAACAACAACAACAACAACAACAACAACAACAACCTCATCTATCATCAAATTCACTTTCATCTCCATCTTATGACCATCAAACTCCACCACCACTTCCACCTCGGGGAATCACATCTTCATTATCTTCATCAAATTTTGGTCGAACTACTCTTCCCAGGAGAAACTCTACCGATACCCAACCTCATGATAATGTTTCCAATCCATTTCACCGGCGTAATTCATCCTCATCTTCATCAACACACCCCAATGTTCAACCTCAATTGCCTCCTAAAACTTATCGAGCCAAAAGATGAAATTGAGCACTTTGTCAAGGTAAATTGTCAACATCGAGGAGGAAAATATAATCACAATTTCCTGAGACTTTTACACTTTGATCTTTCCATGTTTTGTTTTTCTAACTGTTGTTGATTTACATTCTAACACTTTAATTACTAACTTCCATAAATGTTTAATCAACATGGACTTTGATTAGTTAATAAGTTTGGAAAATGTCACACTTGATACGTTGATTCAGCTCTTAATTGCTATCACTAATTTTTCCTCTCTCTCTCTTTTATATTTCTATTGTTACAGTTCCAGTCTCATTTTCATCCATTTTTACAACGTTGATTTGATAAAGGATCTGGATATTGTTGTGTTTTCCCATCTTAATTAATCGAGATTCCATCCTTTTATTTTTTATGTCGATAAAACAAATTTAACCTCGCATTTCATAAACACACACAACCACCATTGAGGACAAAATTATTTGACACTCATCTCGAGATGTTGCTGATCCTCATCGCCATCTAAATCCATAATCAATCATCATCATCACCTATCCATAGATTCACATTTTTGTTATTAATTCAGAAGAAGATGAGACCTCACAATAGAATCAACTGAATCTCTCTCTCTCTCTCTCTCTCTCTCTTTCTGTTCTAAATCAGCACAAAGAAAATTGACCAGTCCATCTTAATAACAACGAACACACGGTGACCACGATGAAAACAACAACGGCCATTTCGATGAAGAAGAAAAAACAATGATGATTGAGCTCAAAAAACGTTGATCAAATTGATCTTTATATTCACGAATGTATTAAAGTGTACAGACAAACCGATAAACAACAAGAAAAAAAAACCAAAACAAAACAGAAATCAATAAAAAACAAATCAATTAAACATTCAAATGATGTCAACATGTGAATGAAAAGAAGATTAAAAAGAAGCAAATTTCGGTCAAAGGTTAACCAAAAATAAGAAAGAAAGATGAACGTCAGTCCAGTCAAAATTCGGGCAAAAAGTAACCTGTTGGATGGATAATGTTAGAATGATGATCCTCTTTTCCTATTCCGTTGACCCATTTTGAAAAGAAAGTGGCCTTAGACCCAACCTTTTTCATCTTCCATTTACCTGCCATTTACCTTTACTTTCTTGTTATTATTGTTATGCCTTCGTATTGTTATCATCTCCTTGGTCTTTCTCTCCCAATGTAACCATTAATTGCTCATTAATTGCTTATTAGTTGCTCATTAATTGTGCTTCTTTCCAATTGATTGTTTTACTTGATGTACTTTCTTGTTGATTTTTTCAAATAATCAATTCTTGAAATCGTTGTTATTTTTACCCAACAGTTAAAGTGAAAATAGCGTTCATCTTGATTAGATTTACAATCTAACAAGGTAAACCAGTTGATTCATTAATCATTGTGAGTATAACTTGGATTAATTACATAACAAGAATTCATTTAATTGTGGAAAACATCATTTGTTATCATCAAGAGGAACTTTGATCAGCATTTAACAGTCATTTTCATCATCTTCTTCTTCTTGTCTTCCATCATCAATTCAGTTCATCATTAGAATCTATTTGCTTGTCCAACCTTCCATTTTTGCTCCCATTTTTATTTCTCTCTCTCTCTTTTTCAGCTTATTTTCTACTAGACATCATCATCATCATCCTCATTATCATCATCATACAAAATAACAACAACAACAACATTGGATTAATTTAATTTGTTTCCTTTGAAAGTTAAGTAATTCTGATTGACAAGTTGATCTAAACGCTAAAGTGTCAACCAACAAATTAGATATTGAAATCGTTTGTATTTAGTTTTTTTTCACAACCTCAACAATTAAACCTACAAACAATGAATCGTGGTAATTGTTTAATCAAATTTGGTTTCAATATTATAAATCACCAATCATCAAGATCGCTCTGGATAACAAGTTGCTCATTAAATCAACAACAACAACAAACTAATTTGGGTGATTATGATTTACCGTAAGTTGAATTTACCTTATTGACAATTGTTGTAGTTACAATAACGATTTGATTATATCTTCCTCTTTCTCTCTATAACAATTAACTTTAATCACTTGAACGTTTAATTGTGTATTTACAATCATTTCCTTTTCCTTTTCATCTATCAATCTATTTCTCCATAGACCTTTCGTTCATCCAAGTTTATCATATGCTCAGGGACGAAGTACCAAACCTTTCACCTTGGAAACTTTATCACAATTACTTGACGAAAGAGCTTCTAAAGGTAAATTTTACAAACAATTAACTTACATTAAATTTAATCGAAAATTAACTTAATCAATTCTCTGTTTGGATGTCATTCAATTCAGGTGGAAATCGGATAATTTATACTTCACATCATGAAAATAAATTTCTATCAACTTCCATGTTAAGAGATGGAGCTCATAGACTTGCATTGATACTCCATCATGAATTGGGTAAGAAACTTGGCAATTTACTTATTAAATTTTCCTTATTCATGATCAAGGGCAACAATTGAATCCATTAATTGTCAATCAATTCTCATCATCTCTCTTCCAATAGGAATCAACAAAGGAGACATGATTGGTATATGGTCATTAAATATCACCAATTGGGTTCTAATTAAATTTGCTGCTGATTATTTGGGAGCTGTTCTTGTAACAATTAACCCATATTACAAGACTGATGAACTTGCCTATTTAATTGACAAATCAAAGTGTAAAATATTATTTTTACCTGGTGAAAATTCAACCCAATTAGATTATAACAATTTCACTGAAATCGTTCAAAGTAATAGTTTTAAAGCTCAAGTTTCACAGGTAAATTAGACGTTTCTTATTATTATGATTACAGTGAAACAATTAACCGGCTAAACAATTGATCTATTGATAGACACAATTAAGACACTTGTTTTTCATTGATGGAACCCGGAAGCAAGACAAATATGGCGATTATTCAGTTTTTACCTTTGATGATTTTCCTGAATCTAAAGTTTATCAACCAATTGATACTAATCATGATCCCGATCAACCTTCATGTCTAATGTTTACATCTGTAAGTTTTACAACTCAACTGAATTGAAATGAACTTTCTAATTGTAAACAATTGATTGTCATTAACAGGGAACCACTGGTAAACCTAAAGGAGCACTTTTATCATCATTTGCAATGATTAACGATTGTGATTTTGCCTCTGATCGTCTTGGTATATTTGATGGCGATGAAAAGATTTGTTGTCCATTACCTTTTTTTCATTCATTTGCTTTTACTCATGCATTGGTCACCTCAGTTGTCCGAGATACTCCTATCGGTAATTTAATTGTTATTCTATCATTAACTGATTGATTTAATTGTTGTTCCTTGTTCACAATTAGTTATCAATGGTTACAGATTTGATGTGAAAACTGTAGCTGAAGCAATTAAGCAACATAACTGTTCAACTTTACTTTGTACACCAACGATGGCCATTGATTTATTGAGCTATTTGGACGCGACTAAGATACGATTAGACTCATTGAAAAGTAAATTGTTGTTGTTGTTGTTTACTAAACCAGTTAACAATTAACTAATTGTTTGATTTTTATGATTCAGAATTTTGTTTAGGAGGAGCTCTATCCGATCCTGGAGTAATCCGAAAGATTAAAAGTAAAATACCTTCAGTTTCAACGGTTCTAAATGGTTATGGATCAACTGAATTAAGTAATTCTATTAATCAACCTTATGGTTCTCATTAATTAGTAGTAATTAACTTTTTCTATGATTGATAACAATTAAGGTCCTGCTGTTACATTAGCAAGTTGGAATGACGATGAAAAGTTAATTGAATCAACTGTTGGTCGCCCATTGCCTTACACTGAAGTTAAAATTGTTGATCCAATTACAAATAAATTAGTTAAACACAATGAGAAAGGTAATCGAATCTTAATCTAACAATTAATTAGTGTTACAATTAACTGTTAATTTGTTACTACTTTTAACAATTAAGGTGAAATAAGGACCAGAGGGTTTAATGTTATGCTTGAATATTTTAACGATGAACAAAAAACTAAGGAAACAATTACTCCTTCTGGATGGTATCTAACAGGGTATGATTAAGTTAATTAGTTGATTAATTTGACGATTAACTAATTGTTAAGTGAATTGTTAAAACAGTGATTTGGGTCAAATGGATGAAAATGGTTTTCTCAAAATCGTTGGACGAATCAAGGAATTGATTATTCGTGGTGGTGAAAACATTTATCCACAAGAAGTTGAAAATATCTTAATGAGCCATCCCAAGATAATTGAAGCTCATGTAAGATGATTAACTAATTGTTGAAGTAATTAAATTAATTGTTTCCTGTTTGATTGTTTCTCTAGGTTTTTGGTATACCTGATGAACGATATGGTGAAGAGATTTGCTCTTGGGTTACAATTGATCAAACGGAGCCAAAATTAACAACCAAAGAGATTAGAGATTTTCTCAAATCTAAAGTAAATTAACTAATTAGTTAACTAATTAATCATTCTAACTATTAATTTATCTCTTTCTTTAATTACAGTTAACTTATTTCAAAGTACCAAGGCATATATCAATTGTGAAAGATTTCCCAATGACATCAACTTTCAAAGTATCCAAATTAATTATGAGGGAAAAGACCATTGAATTAATGAAACAATCAACCAACAATTAACTGAATACCGTATATACATAATAATCTGACTGATTGATCAATTAAGGACTAATCAACACAATTAAATTACCTAATTGTAAACAAAATATGAGCTCGTTTGATTAGACTAAAATTATTACAACTTGACCAACAACAACAATTAACTGGTCAATTTTTAAATCAATGAAAAGTTAATTATGTTAATATTATTATTGGATTGAACAATTAACTGTTTCATTATAATTATAAATATATTTTAATACTTAATTTGATTTTTAAATAAACTTTTCCAATCTTCTTGATCAACAATTAAGAGGTAAACAAATTGTTTAATTAATCAATGAACACTAAAAGATAATCAATCAAGTTGATTAAACTACGAAAAATTTACTGTCAAATGTAAATTTGTTAAGAACGATGATTTAGAATTGATTGTTAATCATTAATTGATTACTATTAAAACTTGAGAGGGTTAATTGTCATCAAGTTAACATGTGATCATATAAATATCGTACTGATCATAATGGTTAATCACTTAATTGTCATTTGATTAACCACTTCTAACATTAGTTTTTTATTAATTTCCTTGTAGTTTATTTGGTAAACTTGTACTTAACCATTTTAATTGTGATTAACTTAATATATTAACACAACAATCAAAAATTGAACCAATCAATATTTTTTTATTATTATTATTGTAGTGATTACAATCAAGTTATATTACCAATAGGATGATTAATCGATAGCAGCTAATTGCTTGTAAATTATCAATAGATAATCAAAGATAAAATCAACAATTAACTTATCAGACAATCTTAAAGTTGTTAATAATTAACTAAACAATAATAAGCAATTTGATTGAATTTGATTGAATTAAATATTGTTAAGTAATCGATTCATAAATCATGAAATGATTACTAAATTGCCAATGTGATTTAGACATAGACATGATTAGTAAATTGTGATTGTTAAATTGTTGTTTACCTTGAAAAAAAAAATTTGTCAATTAATTGTCATTAATTTAATCAGGTATTCTCATTGTTAGTGCTAAGAAATGAAAAGTTTTACGTCACAATCAACCAATTTAATCAACAACAATTTAAGAGGAAACCCCAGCAATCTAATAATCTGTATATTTAATCAAAAAGTTACACCTTATCAGTCAATAGTTAATTGTAATCAAATTAACATCTCTAATCAATTTGATCAATTTGATAATAGTAATAAAGAAAATACAATTCAATTTGATTTGATTAGTATAATTAATAATTTTTCATTTGCCTTCAGGTTAATTCATCACTTAATTATCAAACTACTCTTGTGAATTTATATAAACAATTTAAGTAATCATCCTGACGAGGAAGTTAATTGTCATATGATTAGTACGTTGGAGTTGAAAATCAACTTTCACTATTTAGTTTCTAGTATTAAATGAGTTAAAGTTAATTGTCAGAGTTTTGGGTTATTAAATCAAATCTAATTGTGACGAAATTGACAGAGTTTCATATTGTAATTAATTATAATTGCTAATAGAAACAATTTATAATTGTTATTAACACTCATGGTTAATCACATTGAGTCTGCATGATTACCTGAGCCATTACTTTATAATTTAATCATGTTGGTTAATCATAACAATTGCAACCATGATCATGATTAAAGTGATGGTGTCGCTTTAATCAACCTCTTATTGTCCTCCCTCTTAAATTGCCAATGTATTAATTGTAATCATTTTCATTCCGATCCAACAATCAACCAAATCATAACCAACAGTCAACGACAACAATCAACAATCAACAACCACTAATCACTAATCACATCATCGTTTTTAATCAATGTTAATCTCCATTGAATAATCTGAGTAATTAAAAAAAAATGCTTTTCAATTTGTTTCAATCATCATCATCACCATCGCCATCAACAATTAACATTACAACAATTCATGGAGTTGCAAACAATTTATCATCATCAAAATTAACTAATGATAAACTTATTCCAAACTCAATTAAAACCAATATTGTTCAATTATCAATTCTTGTTGATAAAATTGAGTTAATTGCTCCAACATATGATAGACCAGGTTATAAGAAAGCCAATGGTTTTCGTACAATAATTAAAGTAATTAACAAATTTGTACCAATATTGGTTAAATTGACATCTCTTGATTGTCCAGAAAATGTTCAACAATTGATTAATGAAACAAATCAACGATCATCAACATCACCGAGCAATTATGTCAACTCAATCAACGGAGTTTTAACAATTCTCATTGAATTGTGTAATTTAACAATTGATTGTCATCAAAATTGGTCCATAATTAAAGACCCTAAAGAAAAGTATCTTTGGCTTCAACGGACTTATCGTTATACTTACGAAAAACTGGCCAACGAACTGATAGATTACTGGACGTACCACGAACTATTCTGGTACGAATCATCGATTCGTGATTATCTTTCGTATACAATTAGTGCTTTCACCACTTTATCTAAGCCCCCGGTCTCTTTATTGTCTCTATTATGTCGACGAGAACGCGGCTCACGAATGACCTCAATCGCTTGGAAAGGTGATCCCTTTTTCCAGACAACGGTGATAAATTTACTCGACAATCCAATAGTCGATAATATCAACAAACTTTTCTTCAAATTTTCCGGAATCAGTTTGAGAAATATCAAAATCCCTCGTCAGAAAGATTGGATTATCCCTTTTGATGGTAATCCAGTGGTTCATCGTGACACTCTTGATCAACCACCAACGGAATCATTTGTTACATGTGATCAAATTAAATTACGTTTATATCAAGTGGACAATTTACCACCCAATGGAACTGTTATCATCCATATTCAGGGTGGTGGTTTCATGGTTGATGCTCATGCAGTTCATGCAAGTTATATTAAATCGTGGTTACCCCAACTATCTGGAGCAATTGTGGTCAATATTGATTACAGTTTAAGTGTCCGTTATCCCGTTGCTCTACAAGAAATTGTCGATTCCATCCTTTGGTTAGTCAGTCCAAACAATATTACCGAAATCGCTACGACCCTACAGTTTATACCCGATAATTTAATTATCCTTGGTGATTCTTGCGGTGGTTATTTGGGTTTGGCTGCTTGTGCCGTTCTCCGAGATATCAAAGATCTTGCCCCAGGTCAAATTACCGTTTTCCCTTCGTCGTTAGTTTGTTTATCTCCGGTCATGGCTCCAGTTAATCTCAACTATTCACCTTCTTTACTATTGTCAATGCTTGACCCTTTTCTATGTCCAACTCTTAATCTTCAAGTTTTATCTCTTTATTCAACTGGTATTACCTTGGATTCTGAATGTCAATCGACTATCGATCTATCTGCAACTGTGACGATGTCATCATCATCTTCTTCTTCATCTTCAGAATCTTCATCACCGATTATCGGCTATGTGAAAGAGTCTCTTTGGTTTACTTTGGGTCGATGTCTATTTGGTCGGGATGTTTGCTGGTTCGATTGTGATCCGATTACCTTTGAGAAAAGATTGAACAAATTGACCGATAAACTTTTCCATCCTTACATTTCATTATTAACTTCTTACGATTTAAATCGACTAACTGACCATTTAAAGGTTCACCTGGTCACCTCTGATCTTGATGTTCAACTGGACAGTGCACTTGAATTCGAAAGAGTTTGGAAAGGTTCACTGACCATCGATATTGTTGATGATCTTCCTCACGGTTTCTATGCTTTCTCAATGCTTTCCAAAACCGCCAAAGATGGTGCACAAATTTGTCTCGACCGGTTGAAACAGTCAATCAATCGTTAATCTAATTGAATGATTACAATTTCAATTCACTTGCTAATCTTAATCCTTTTCCTTTTTTTTTCACTACACCCAAAAGTCAATCCAATTTAGAAATTGACTCCTATTTCCAATCATTATCATCATAATTTACTGATCAATCTATTAATTGTCTGGCTGCTCAAATTTACTTTTAGTCAGACAGATAATATAATATTAATTTGATTGATTCTATTCAATTTTCTTCAATTATTATTCAATCTTTTGTTACATAATGAAAATTATCTCTCAATTCAATTGAATACAAGACGAGTTTAAAATTACTTCAATTTACTAATAATAATCTTTTAATTATCTCCGACTATGAATTGACGTCAATCAATAATCACCAGAATCACAACTGATAATCAAGCATAAGAATCAATCTAAATGATAAAGTTGATTTCCTTGAGAATTTTTTCAAAATTCGCGCTTTAAAATTGGAATAACAAAAAAGTCCCTATGGAAGATAAATATTATTTATAGTGAGAATATTTTTCTTTGAGTGACCAAGAATCTAAAAAGAAAAACAATTAAATTACCCTGATAGTTACAGAAGCGACACTAATTGTTGAATTTGTTGGTTAACAATAGTTTATATGAAGTGTTTTGGTTAATTCAACTCGAAACTCGAACTTGTTATTAGAACCAAATAAACGATGAATTGTTTTCAGGAAACTTTCCTTCGGTGTGCAGCAGATCATTATGGTTTTGATGCCGATTTTGACTTTGTTTTGGTTACATTGGATGATTTGTTAATTCCAGATACAAGTAGATCACCAATGACCTCAAAACTTGGCGACAAAACGGAAGATGACGGCGAAGAAGAGAAGGAAAGAATTTCCCATTATTCTCAGGCCATAAAATTCTATCGGGAACATATTCGAAATAGAAAATTCCAGCCGAAAACTAAACATAAATGGTCACATTATTATCCAAATGGTCCAAATTATTGCGAAAAAGTGACCGAAACCATGAGCCAAATTTTCATTTCATCGTTGATTAAAAATTATCTTGGACACATTGACTACGAATTTGCTGAAAATGTTTTACTTGCCTTCCAAGGGGACAAAGAGCAACCGATAGCCAGTGTCCAGTCTATGGTTAAACATTATGTTGACTGTCGGATATTCACACCAAGTTTTTATACTCTAAATGACGCTAACATCTTCCAACAGCGATTCCTTTTATGTGCAGTTAAACACTACGAAATTGAGTACAATTGTTACACCGAAGGATCAAAATACGATTCTGAACATCGTTTCGAGTATATCAAGTTCCTCGATTACCTTGTTTCGACATTCAATAAGTTGGCCTTGAACGAAGAGGAAGAATTCACTGGTCAATGGATAAAATTTCAATACGATTTGACCATTTTACTTCGAGATAATCGTATTCGAAAACGGAATCTGAGTAAATGCAAAAAGATTTACTATCCACGTGAAGTAGTGACAAAAATGGACAAAACTTTTATCGATTCGTTTTCGACTGCAATGAAAATCGACTACAAATTTTGCTGTAAAGTTTTAGACCATTTTCATGGTAAACAAGGTTTGAAATCGACGGAGGAAGATGTTAAACTCACGATAAAATATTTACATGAGAATAAGAAAGGTGAACATCCCCTCGCAAAGGCCAATATCTTTCAACGGAACTTCCTAGCACTAACTTCATGTTATTTTCGCGATAAAAATGACTTCGATATTATCAATGGACTTGTCGATAATGATTATATAGTCAACACCTTCAATGGATTAAAGATCAATGATGATCAACAGTTTGCTCCAGAATTGATTATCGAAGCATATGAATCGACTATTGGTAAGCTTGGGGCTTGGTTCTTGTTGGAACAACATTCTCAGGAAACTATCGAAAAAATGGAAAATATATTCATCGAAAACACTAAAAAGCATTTCTGTCAAAATATCGATATTAAATTCACCGCTAATATAATAACTTCATTTCGAGATGTTCAGAAAAGTCTTTACCATCTTCCATCACCTCCTCAATCTCCCATAAACGACACTTTGGACAATGAGGACTCATTTTTTTACCTTCGTGATGTTGAAAATCTCTCGAACTGATTATCATCTTTATCGGGCCTAAATGTGAGCCATCGTCATTCAATCTCCATGTAATGAATGAAAATCTGCTGAACATTTTGCCACAATATCGAGATTCAATTCATCCTTTATTCAGAAAAGTTCAATCCTGATTTCGTTCTTGGTGACAAAACAAAATGTCTGCTAATTATTTTACTCTCGTAGCATTTAACCAACAATGAATTCAACTTAAACAATTATCATATCATTTCAATCGTATGTCAAGCAATTAAATAAATTGAATATTTTTTTTTGCAATCAATCAATCAACACAAAAAACAATACCTTCAAAAAATAATCATAATTTAATCAATTCAACTAAACTAAAATATATTCGTACAATTTTGATAAAAATCACAATCGCAATCAACTGTTGCAATTAATTTCCAAATAAAATGAGCAATAAATTGTTTACATTTTCATTTCAAATTTCACACCAAAAGCAAAATGGAAAGATAATTAATCTTTGATTGTAATCAATGTTTTCCTTCAATCTTTAATTGATGATAATGTTACTCCTGTTAATTAACGACAATTATAACCTCGTGCTTACCTAATTAAGATTGAATCTTCATCCATAATCAGTTTTTACTGTTGATCATCAAGCTTCATTTTCAATCTATTAATAATATTAACCATTTGATGACAACAACAACAACAACAACAATTAATGTTTCTATTTTGTAATTAAATAATCATTTCAATTGCGATACATTTGAAATCTTAACTAACCTGATTTTCTGGTTACAATTTGTTTCTACAGGTAAATCATCAGCTGATCAGCTGATCAATTTTACTTTTTATCAACAAAAATCAAAATTTTCCTATTTCTGTGATTATTGTGATTCTATGGTGACTTTATTCATAATTATCTTCACAATTAAATTAATTGCTTGGGTTTAGATGGATCTTGATGAATTTCTGATTAAATTAAAATCATCCAATGAATCAAATAAACATGGAAATTTGATTAATTCACTTGAAAGATTATCCAGTTTATGTGAAACCTTAACTCGATTGGCACCTCAACATGATTGGAAAGATTTACCTTATAATGGATTTAGAAGTCTAATCAAATTGTGTAATCTATTTACAATTAACGTTCTAAGAGTTAAATGTAATCCACTAATTGTCAATAATGATCAAGAATCTTTGATCAACACTATCAAACTTTTAATCGCAATGACAGAGCGAGCAGTTGATTATCATCGAGATGGTCAAGAGCCGGACGAAGGTTTCAAATGTGATAAAGTAGTGAAAACTTTTCGTGACCTTAGGCAACATTTTGACGAAATCGAACCTTACCTTAAATCGTATTGGGCCGATAATGCGCTGTTCTGGATGACCCCAGATTCCCGTTGGGTACCATATTATTTCTCGTTGGTCTACTCATTGGTCCATCGATTTCCGAAATCATTGTTGGCCTCAGTTTCTAACACTGAGTACGCCAATATAATGACCTTTTCAACCTGGAAGGCTACACTTTTTTTCCCGATCAATTTGGCAAATTATGTTGATAACTTTATAACTCGAACCTACAGTGGCCTCAGATTCATGGTATCCGATGTTGAGTATCGTGAGTTTATGGTACCAAGACAGTCAAAATGGATCATAAATGATGATGGAAGTCGAATATCATCTTCACCGGAAGATGATGACAAATTCATGAGGGAAAAAAAAGAAACTGTTCTTTGTCATCTGATGCGATATAAACCTCATCAACCCTCCGGCGATGTTATCATTCATGCTCAAGGCGGTGGATTAGTTGTTGATGCTCGACAATTACACGAGGAGTACCTACGTGATTGGGTACAACAATTGGACGGTTCAACGATAATTAACATTGCTTACAGTCGATTCGTTAGGTATCCGTTTGCCCTTCAAGAAATTCTTGACGTTTTCCTTTGGTTAACCAGCGGCGATGATCAAGTTGATAAAATGATTGGATTTAAACCAAAACGGATAATCTGCCTTGGCGATTCTGCCGGAGCTTATCTGCTTTTCTCCTTGTGTTTGGTTGCTCGTGATATTCAATTAATCTCCCCAATGGACATAAAAACCTTCCCGAAAGCACTGGTCGCCTTTAGTCCGATTCTTTCCTCAGCAAGTTCCAAAATTTTCCCCTCCTTTCTACTCTCATATATTGACCCTTTTCTCTGTCCATCTTTACTACTCCATTGTTTCTCACTATATGGATCGGGTGTGATCTTTGACTCCGATTGTATTGACCTGGAAAATGTCAACACCAACTATCAATCGTCCAGTAAACCAATCAACTGGTCAACTTGGTTAACCGATAAATATACAATGTCAACCTCGAGTTTTAAAAACTTTTATAATACCTGGTTAAAGAAGGGTAAAAGTTGGTACGATTGTGATAACGAAACATTTGAAGAAAGGGTCAACCAAATGGCCTCAAGAATAACGATTCCCTACATATCACCCGTGGTCTCATATGATTTGGAGACAATTAAAGATTTAGAATTATATTTAATTTCAACTGAATTTGATCCACTTTTGGATACCAATATTGAACTTGCCAAAAAATGGAAAGGTAAACTGACCCTCGACGTGATTGACCAAATGGCCCACGGATTTAGTGCCTATTATTCATTAAGTAATTCCTGTTACCAGGCATCTAAATTGTGCCTTCAAAGATTAAAAGAATCAGTTTCATCATGAACAATTATCTTCTTCTTATTCTTGTAAACATATAAATAATAAAAAATTTTGTATTTTCATTGAAATTTCATTTTTAATTCCTGAATAATAATAACCCAACAAGCACAATTATTAATATATCATGAAAATGTATTTATACCTGTAAAGGTAAGGAGGGAAGGAGAGATTACTTAATATTCATCTTGAACAGGGTGAAATTTTTACATGGTACATTTTGTTCATTATTACTGAAATCACCATGAAAAAAAATTAATCAACGATTGGAAACAAATCAAGGATGTTACTCTGTTGACGGACATAATTAAAGGTATGACTGCTCATCTCTTCTGGATGATTAACTTGATTATTTTGTTATGAAGGATTGACAAGCATTCAGAATTCATCAGAACTTTTTTGAAGAAGAAAAAAGAAAAAAAAACATTGATGGAATCGCAATGAACTACATCATCCACCCTGAAGGCAAAGTTTATTAATGAGAGAGAGAGAGAGAGAGAGAGAGAGAGAGAGAGAGAGAGAGAGAGAGAGAGAGATGAAGATAGAGGGATGTTCAATTGAATTCGAATTTTTTTTCTTCATCTTTTCATCTCTTTAATTGGTTACTTTCGATCTCGAATCAATTTTCTCACTAGATGGCAATATAATCGCACGAAAAAGGATAAAAACGATTTGATTGTTAGCCTAATTGTTCACTTTCGATTTGATTCTTGTTAACTATTATCCACCTTCGAACATTTCAACCTTACAATTAAACTTTCAAAATGAATAATTTAAATTGTTTCATCGCCTTTGTGATCATCATCTCGACATTATATGAAACCTGTAATGCCAATAGTAAGTAATCAAACACTAATTATGACAATTTATCACCAGTAACCTAATTAATTTGATTTGATTTTCGTACTAGTTTATGGTTACAATGTCACCGTTTTCACCACATCGGATAAGGATAAAAAGTTTGATAGTGTCACAGGTAAATTCAAGATTGACCTGAAGGGCAAAGACTCCGCTGGCAAAAACTTCAGCCATTACATTGTCCTTAATCCCGAGTAAGTTAATCTACTTTTACTTTTAATCAACCAATCAATCAAAAGGAAACTCAATTCAATTGAAATTGTCACAATTCAAAATGGTCAACAAGATGATCCTCAGATTTGAGAGATAATTTCAATCTCATACAATCTCGAGTTCATTGAGGTTCAAACAATAATAAGAAGTGAATCTTGTGCGTATTTATATATTTATTTATTTTCAAAAGTGATTAGTAGATTAATCAATTAATTAGCTCTTCAGTTGAGCTGTTTAATTGTGTATTTTAATCTTGAGAAATCAATGAGAAAACCAGGAAATTGAATGTTGTTTTTTTCTCAATTACAATTAGATAAGATGTTGATTGGAAAGTTTCATTTTTCTTTTCGTCTCTTCAGTTAATCAATTACAATTTGTTACAATCTGATCGAAAAGGTGATTAATTGATTGGTTCTCTTTTCTTTTTCAGTGGAGATGAGATTAAATTCAATCGTAGCTACTCTTATCCTGCTGGTGCTTCATATCCATTGGAAAATATCACCGATGTTAACCTTAGATGGACATTGAAATCGCCCTTCAACCCAATCTACTTGGTCAACAAGCCCAAGGTTTATTTTGATCGAATCACAATTCAGGGTAATCAAGCTGAACGTGGAATGTAAGTATCGAAAGAGTAACGAACATACAACGAAAGAATCAATAACTAATTCGAAACTTTTTTTTTCTCCTTCTTCGAATTTACAGTTCAACTCAATCAGTACGAATTTACTGTGGAAGTAAACGAAAAGCGGTCGGAATTAAACACGATGAGGCCGAAGTATTTGTGACCTGTCTTCCTCTTCCTCTTTATCCGATTCCTGGTCTAACAGTTTAATCAACCAGTTAATCCGATCAATACAATTAATCCCAATTTCAATTCTGTATTCATACTTTAACTATCAGAACTGAACAAAACTTCATAACCACCAATGAACAAACTATGAAATTAATGTAATTGATTTACAATTGAGTTTCTCTTTAATAAATAAACAATTTAGGATCACAATTAGTCGATTTGTTTGTACAAATTAAATTACCGTGATTAAAGTTTTTTCGGTGCATCATTACCAAATTTCTTAATCACTGAATTAACATAATCAATTGATTCGTTAATTTGTTTCTCTTTGAATCCTTTTTCTTTAAGAAAATCAGAAATATTATCACATTTGATCCAATCATCATAGGAACAATTAAAAGTTAATCCACCAAGGTAGGGTGGTAAATTAGTCGGTTCACTTGCAAGTGAATTAACAAATGATTGATCAGCTTCAATGATTAACTCACGAATAGATGATGGAAGCAATTTCTTAATTATTGAATAGATGAAACTGAATTTCCAATCCATGTTACAGAACGTAACTGATTCAACCCATGGTGGATAAATGAACACAAGGATATTGAGCATCTCTTTGATTATGGTCAAGTCGATCCTCGCATCGGCACAATCAATGATGAACCTTGGCTTTCGAGAGGTCATATTTATGGCCTTGGTCACTTTCTCGATATTCCAAGAAACGTATTTATAAACGTAAGGAAGCAAATAGCTTGGGGGTGAAGGGAAACACAGTCGAAGCAATAAAGTTGGTGTACCATTGATATCGGCGGGTAGAAAGCAAACAAAGTTAATCGAATGCATTTCTTTGGCAAAACTTTCGGCTTGTAAAAAGTTGATCCCATTTTCGGCCTTCCAGGTCAAAAATTTCCTCGCCGATTGTAGGGCTCGTTTATAGTTGAAATTTGTCGCCAAAAAGGATTCGAGTAAAACTGATTGACTCGATTGATTTTCCAATAACTTTTGATCAATCGAATCCCAATCTTCATACTCTGGACAATTAATCAAATCTTCACGTAAACTTTTAATATCATCTTCCAATGATCTAAATTAAGAAAACACAAACATGATGATAATGATTGGTTATCATAAACACTGGCCCTTAGGCGATAAATTAAAGATTAACTCGATCACCCAGTCAACCAAATTGATGATCAATAATCAATAATCAATAATAATTATCACTCACCTTGAATTTATGGCCGATCCGTTGGTTGTTAATCTTTCACAAGTTTTGACCATTTTCAGTTAATGCTAGTAGTTGATTGTCACAATTAAAAGATTGGAACAGCAATTAATCAACTGATGATCTGTTGAATAGTGAATCTGATAAACTGATTCCAGGTTCATTTATATCGTTCAGACTTTCATGGGAGTAAAGATTGAAACAAGTTCCAATACCATGAAAAAAAAACGGGAAAGGGTTAACAATTTATTAGCCATAATAATTATTTAACCAGAGAGTAATTAACTTGATTAATTTTATTGTACTTTAATTTCCGGGTTAACTGTTGAACGATTATAATCTCATCATGTTAATCAATTCAATTGTTCAGTTGGTTAAATTTGTCATTTGTTTTCATGGGGATTTCAGTCAATTCCTCAGTTAATTGTAGTGATTGGAAATACTTAAATCATTAGATTTAATCACTTTGTTTACTCACATTGGGAATCAGTTGAAAGGATTAATCATCATCATTAATTTTAATTGTATTTTACCCTGAGGCAACTTTTTTTCAACCTTCTAACTAAATTAAATTGGATCCTTCCTTAATTTAATGGTCATTGTCCTTTAATTCAGTAATTAAATCATCAAATTGAATCACTAGTTACTATTGGGGAATAACTGTAAATACAATTTAGTATATTACCAAGTTGATTAATACTCAATAAAGCAATCATCTGAAACGATTAAGTCAACTAATTAACGATTTACTTGATTGATTTTCATATACACACACTACCAAACAATTAAGAAACAATTGTAATCACAATCAAACATTGTAAGGACTTGATTGTAATTCATATTGTCCAATTGTTTGAATATTGGGAATCACAGTCAATGGGAACAATTAACTTGATATTATCTGTTATAAGTTGGCCTTAAGGTTGAATTTTGATTGATTTGATTGGTAATCAAAGTAACAATTAAAAATTATGGGAGTGATTATGATTAACCTAAGGTTATTTTGTTAATTACTGATTAACACAATCTTGTTTTAATTTGATATTTGCCTGGTAATGTGATCAACGAGTTAATTGTTAATTTGCTTTCATTAAACAACTAACAACATGATGAGCAATTTAATACTAATCAGTGTTTATATTTTTATCCAAATGATAATTGTAACAATTAACTGTTCAGTTATTAACAATCAACTCGATGAAGAGTTGTATGTACTTTATGGTGAAGGAACCACGGGTAAGTCTATTGACCATTGGTCATTTTATACTATCAACAATTAACTAATTGTCCATCATTCAATCAACAGTTTATCTTTACAATTTAACTGTGTTTACATCATCAAATTTAAGTGAACAATTTGAACCAATTAACGGAAAGTTTCCCATTTATATTGGATTAAATCTCGATAATCAATTTAATCCAAATAATCTTGTTCAATTGGATCATGAGTAAGTAGTAATTAATAAATTGTTATTCCTTCATTGTTGTTAATTGTTTCCAAATTTAATTCTCAGGAGCAATTTAATCAAATTCAATGAAACCTATCACTTCATATTCAGTTCAAAATATTCATTGGAAAATATAACAAATATTAACATTAAACTGACCACTGATGAGACAATTAAATTTAATTGTTTCTATCTTGACAAGATTGTCATCCAGCTAATCACAGAAAAGTAAGTCTTTAATCACAATTAACTATCAACCTTTACCTTAATCAAATTAACTGTTTTCCCAATGTAATAATTATTATATATAAACAGGATTCCGATTCCGACAAAAATTTTCTGTGAGAACAACAATCAACCAATTAAAGTTGATTCGGAAGCAATTAAGTCAATTGGTAAATGTGACATTGGCCCATTGGAACAATTAACTTGGCTTAATTTAGACAATCCAAGTAAAATTAACGTTAATTATGTTCCAATGGTGAATCTTAATTAACGAAACGAAACGAAAAAGTTTTTTCATTGTAACGAAACGAGAAAAAAATGAAAATAAATAATGTTAATAGACTTTAATTAAGTTAATTGTAAGAAAAGTTATTGTTATTTATGAATGAATATTATTATTTATAGTTAATTGATTGATTAATTAAGTTATTTATACGATTTTACATTTACCGTTTTTCTTGATAATGAAAAAGGGCCAAGAGATTATGAAAATTTACAAAGGAGGAAGAAAAAGATTTTCGGACTTTAAATGACCACAAATCGATTGACTAAAATTAGTGATTTTTGTCACCAAAAGATTATGACATAATATTAGCACAATGAAAAGAGAGTGAGAGAGATGTTAAATTAACATTGGAAGTTGTTAAGTTATTAAATTGTCGCAATGTTCATTTGGTTAAAAGAGGTATTTGTGAGGAAGACTCAAATTTATGACAATATTGAGTTAATTAGTAAAATTGCAATCGCAATTAATTAAGATTTTAAGGATTCGGATTAGAGACTTTGATGAGGATTAAGATTAAGAGAGGATTAAAAAGGGAGAGGATTGATTAATGGTGCGAATCAACAAGTGACAGGAGTAGTAAAGTTGAGGAATCACATTTAAACTAAACAAATGATGAACTTAAAAAAAGGAAAAAAAGTGAATCAAAGAAAAACTATTCTAAAGGTTGACAAGAGTGTCCACTCTCAGTTGAAAAGGGTCAAGGGCATTTAAAATGCAAAATTCTTTGGCTTTGGCAACGGTTGACCAGGAAAAGTGAATCTTTAGATGAGAAAAGAAAAGAGAGAGAGAGTAATGATGACCATCGTCCATCTTATGAGTCGGATTTGAATGATTTACTACTGTTTGGTAGATCGTTTCTTGAAGTAACTTCGCTGACATCGCCGTTCATTTCATCTTTAGGAAATTCTGTCATATCGTTTTTCTCAACGAGAAGATTACGTTTTTCTTCATCAATCGTCTGTTGAAATTCATACATGGGATTACTGAAGTTTGTACTCTGTAAGGATGAGAGAGAAAGAAAGAGAGAGAGAGAGAGAGAAGCAGAAAAAAACATTAGATGGAAATAATTGATTTTTGATTGAATTTTAGTTGGGGAAAAAATCATGACTCTATCATGAGATATGATGTCAGTACCTTGTCTTCAGATTTAAGTGAAAATGCTTGAGTTGGATGTTCTGAAGCAGTGAAACAATCATCTTCACCATCATCTCCAAACATGGGATTACTTATTTCAAGGTTAGCCGCAGATTCATCAATCCTTTGGTGCATGAAAGCCCGACTCCTACAGTAGAGAAAAACAAGAAAAACATGATGAGAAACAGACAAATTATATTAGTGTGAACAGAGAAACTTTAGTAAATAAGCTTCCTTACCTGGCTCTGATTCTCAATGCAAACATGATTAAGAAAACAAGAGTGACCACAATAATGCAAGTAGTTATCACGGTCATTGCAACTTTCCAGTCTGGTGTTTGTCGATTGACTCGAGGAATCGTTTCAGTGCCAGTGTTTTGCGCTATTTTTAGTTTATCGCATCTTTTTCCTTCAAAACCAGGTGAACAGCTGATCGATAGTAAACAATAACAATTAGTCAATTTTTCATTTATGTTTTCATTCAGTTTAACTGCGATGAAATAAACTTACGTGCAATATGGTTGCTTTTGAGAATCGGGTTTACAATAACCTCCATTGAGACAGTAACTTTTACACTTTTCTAAAACTTGACATCGAGGTCCACTCCATCCGACTGGACATCTAATTTTTACATGAGAACAAAAAAAATAAACAAAGTGATTAGTTGATTGTGTTTTTTTAGTATTTTTTGACTTTTTTACCTGCAGATCGGAGGGAAATGACCTCCTGGTAATGTACAATTGCCACCGTTCAAACAAAAATGGTTACAAATTTCACTTCCAGTGGTTACTTTTTCACATTTGCTACCTGTCCATCCAGCAGGGCATTCACAGTAAGTTTTATTAGCCTTGACCATACAATAGCCATTATTTAAACAGGTATAATTGTCACAAAGTGGGTCCACTACAGTTTCACATAATTTACCAGTAAAACCAGGGGAGCATAGACATTTTCCCTGTTCCCCTGAGGCTAAACAAGTAGCACCATGTTTACAATTACAAGCATTGTATTCACATCGTGATCCATTATAACCATTTGGACAGATACACTTGGCTTGAAGCTCAACTAATAGACACGAACCTCCGTTTAAGCAAATTGATTTACACCCTTCATCTGTACATTCAGCGCATCGATCAATCAAATTTTGACCTATTAATGAATATAAAAGCAAATAGTGATTGAGAAAATTAAACTTTGAGAATACGAGAAAAGCAAAATCAAATTCAAATGAATAAAATTATCAATATTTACCACACTCTTCATCAGATCCATCTGAACATTGGGATACTCCATCGCAAATCTGATTAACGGGTATACATGAACCATTCTTACAGGTAAACAAATTTAAACCACAGGAACTTGATTTACATTGTTCTGGTTCATCTGAACCATCACCACAATCATCATGCTTATCACAGACCCAATTTTTGCTAATACATTTCATTGTCTGTTTACATTTAAATTGACTATCTGAACAATTACTTAAACATGATCGTCCATTTGGACCAAGAATATAATCATCTGGACAAACACAAACACCAATCGCTTGTTGATATGGTCCAGGTTGAAGTAGACAAAGTCCAGAACAATTAAGTAAATTACATGGATTGGCAAATCTTGGTGTGGGTTGACGGAGAGGATGATAAACATGAATGTCCATTGGTCGCTCAGATAAACTTAATACTTTGCTACTATTTGTACATTGATACTTGTGACACATGGCGATAACGTGTTTCTCCCAATCAGTCCAATAAATATAATCTTCAAACATTGTGATAGCAAAAACTTTACTAATATGACGAGAGTTTCCCTTATGAACGATAATCTGACGTCGAGTACCATCAAGATTAGCCACGGAAATATAATCTTCCTTAGCATCGGCCCAAAATATTTCCCGAGTGATATAATCAATGGTCAGTGCGTTTGGCCATCCAAGCGATTCATCAATCAATCGAATTGGTTTACTTCCGTCCATACCCGCTTTACCGATATAAGGATTCTCACCCCAATCAGTCCAATACATGTAACCCTCGCTTGGGTCAAGGGCGATAGCTCGAGGTGTTTGAAGTTCTTTACGCAAAAGAATCCGTCTAAAGCTTCCGTCCATCTTTGAAACCTCTATGGTAACCCGACCTTTATCACTCCAGTAAATGTTTTTGGTAAACCAATCGACGGCCAAACCATCCGGACTTTGGATTAGATTGGTGTGTATTTGAACAATGGAAGATGGTTTAATTAATGTATCATTACGATCGGTGGCACAAGCTTTTTTAATACTACTTCCTAATTGATGAACTTCCGTCCAATAAATACAATTATCTTGCCAATCAAAGTCAAGGCCAATTGCATTAGTTAAATTGTCTACCCGTAGATTTGAACTGTGTCCTTTCAAATCAGAATAGGCAATTGAATATCTGTCAGAAAATATAAGATGTGGTACAATTTCAGAATTGGCTTTACATGTAGTACCATTGTCGGGTGAAAGATAACCAGATACACAGGAACAGGAAAATGAACCATAATTGTTTCGACAAATTTGTGAACATGGCCGACGGGTTTTACATTCATCGATATCTTTACAAACTTTACCACCATCGATTGGTTCAAATCCTTCATGGCAACTACACTTATAACCAATGGTCATATCTTCACAAATCTGTGAACAATCAGATTGTCTCCATAGACATTCATTGACATTACATTTATTCTCATCTGAATAATCACCACAATTATTTTTCCCATCACATAAAACACTGGGTAAAACACAATTTCCATTGGCACATTGGAAATATTCACTTTGACAGTTTTGTGTTGTCTTATTTTTGTATAAACAAAGATCAGCATCCTCATCACTTCCGTCATTACAATCGGGAATCCCGTTACATATCCACAATTTGGGTATACACTTTTTGTTTTTACAGGTAAATTGATCACCAAGACATTGGTGAGATTGACAATTATCGGGTTCATCTGATTTATCGCCACAATCATCATCACCATCACAAAAGTATTTCTTTAAAATACAAACTGAATTAACACATTTCCATTCAGTTTCTTTGCACGTTGAATTGTAATTACAACCACCGGGAGGATTTTCATCACTTCCATCAGCACAATCTGATTCTCCGTCACAAACCCAACGCTAAAAAACAACAAGAGGAAGAGAAGAAGAAGAAAAAAATGTAAAAACAAATCAATATAATTAACTAAAAATATGGAGAATAAAAAAATGTTACTACAAATTAAAGGTCAATTGATTATTTACCATAGGTAAACATTGATGTGATGAACAATTAAAGTGATCGGCTGGACAAGGTCTCTCTCGACAAACTTCAATCTTCTCATCACTTCCGTCTTGACAATCATTGTGTCCATCGCACTTCCAGTCGGCGGGAATACAATCCTGATTAGCACATTGGAATTGATCAATGTGACACTTGTAGGTACAATCTTGCTCATCCGATGTGACAGTTGTATTTTCATTGACACAATCATTATCCCGATCACATTTCCATGTATTTGGAATACATAATCCGGTTTTACATTGAAACCAATTAGCATCACATGTAACATTGGTTGAATTAACTTTCGGCTGGCATCCTGCTTCATCTGACCAATCAAGACAATCATTTTGATGATCACAAAGCCAATCAGGGTGAATACAAATTGGTGTACGATTACAATTAATAAATTTAGTCTCATCTCCATAGGAAATTTTTTGCTTAAAAGCTTCACAATCGGGAACTGGACAGTCAAATTCATCTTCCATTCCTGGACAATCAGCATCACGATCACAACGACGACTAATCGGAATACAAGGTCCATTTGGACATCTAAAATCATCACCAGGACAGGTACAGTTAGTTTCATCACTATGATCACGACAATCAACTATACCATCGCATATTTTATGATTAAGAATACAAGTACCAGTGTCACATTTAAAGTAATCAAATGGACATTCACGATTAGCACATAGTTTGGCATCTTCATCATTACCATTGATACAATGGTTTCTTGAATCGCAGGTCAGTTCAATGGGAATACAAGTTCCGTCATCACATTCAAATTGCGTTGAATTACATCGCCATTTAGCGGCAATCTCTTCATTAATACACAAATTTCCATCAAGCATAACACGACCGCTGAAACAACTACACTCAACGGTAGCGTTAACGGTCATTGTACATATATCGGAGCAACGGCCATTGAGTATTGAGCACGGGTGTTTACGACAATCGTCAACATCTTCAGCGACAATGGTTATACCTTTGGGACTGTTTATTTTACTGACAATTAGTTTAGGTTCAGAATTGGCCTGTTTATCGGCTCGATAAACACCTTGAGCAACCCAATCAGTCCAGAAAACGTGATAACCATAAACGGCAAGGGAAAATGGATGTTTAGGTGTTTTCGAGACAACAACGAAACGATTGTTACCATCCAGGTCACATCTTTCCACTTTATCTAATCGGGCATCGCTCCAGTAAAGCATTTGCACTTGTTGGTCAATTGTGACAGCATTGGGCATCTTTATGTCCGTTGTTATGATTGAGGTTTTATTGTAACCCGATTGAAAAGCGCATTGAATTGAGGGATTATTGTGATTCCAATTTGCCCAATAGACCATATATCGACATCCATGGACTGCAATTCCTCGCAATTTATCATCTGGTCCAAGGCTAATTACTTTCTCTGGAAACTTTCCTTTATCCAGGTTAAGTCGATAGATTGATGAATCATTGTTACTTGTCCACCAAAGTTCATTAGTGACACGGTCAAGCGCTAAACCTTCAACGTTACTCTGATTTGCAGCGATTATTTTGAAATCGGTACCATTAAAGAAAACACTGTTTATCGTTGAACTTTTGATATCTGAATAAATTACTCGACTTTTCTCATAATCAAATGTTAACGCGATCACATTTTTCAAAAAATTTGAATCGGTTATCGGTGGATAAGGTGGAGCAGCGGATAAACTATCATCAAGAGGATAGAATTCAAGTTGTAAGGGTCGAGCAAAGATGACAAATTTTTTCTGAGGTTGACAGGTTTGATTATCGGCTGATAGAACACCATATTTACAGCCACACTGGTAAGTACCATTGACGTGAGAGACACAAATCTGTGAGCAATTGGCATTATTACTCTCACATGGATTTAATGAAATTGTCGATGGTTCAGAGATGATAATTCCATTATCAGAGTTACTACCATTCACCACAAATGATTTCTGAGAAACTGGTACATCAATGTCACCATTAACTGGACCAATAGTCGGTGTTGTTGTTGTTGTTGTATAAACGAGTGTTGTTGTTGTTGTTGTTGTCTCATTTGTATCAATTGAGGTAACCGTTGAGACATTATTGTTTGTTTTATTGTAAAAAACTTTAAAATGGTCATAGTGTGAGGGTGTTGGTAAACCTTTTGCTTGTGCCTCTGCGACAACCCTTGAATAATCTGCTATAAATTCTGACAATGGGCTTTTTACTTGAGTGAAACATATCGGTGATACACTTATCACTAACAATATGGTCAATAGATGCATTGGTCCACCCGAAGAAACCAGAAAAAAAAACAGAGATGAGATGTTTGTTGTTTGTTGTTTGTTGTTTCGATGGAAGAAAATTATTATTGGTATTTTAATGATTGGCAGTGATTAATTGATTGTTGATAATCAATTGGACAACTAATTGTTACCGGAAAAATGACCATTTAATCAATTGAAAACAAAGAGAAAGGTATTGTGATAAAACATAAACAATGGACACACAAACATAGGTTTTAACCGCGAGTCATAAACAAGAAAAATGGTTTTGTGATTTTCTTTCACTTCTGTTGATTGTTACACAATTTAAAGATAAACTATCATGATTAATATGATTTCTAACATCTAGTAATCAATTGTTGATAATCAATTTAGTTAATTAAAATCAATAAGAATGATGATTAATAGAAAAAAAAATTGCAACTTAAGAGAAACTGACTGATGAAAATGATGAGAGTGAAATCTCAACAGAATTGGAGAGTTGCTCAGATCATTTTCTTTCTTTTCTCTTTCTTTCCTTTCTTTCCTTTTTCTCTCTTTCTTTTTTTCTCTTTCTTTTCTTTCTTTTGGTCTTGAGAAAGAAGAGAAAGAGAAAATGATTTTGATAATAAAGAGAAGATGGGAAAAAAAAGTTGTAACAATTAACTAATCGCTCGTTGATTGTGTTTACTTTTTTCATGATATATTGAAAATTGAACAAATAGACAGACAGACAATTTGTTTAATTTAGTTCTAATTGTTAAGTTTATTGATTTTAATTAAATTTAATTTCTAGTTTAGGTTAATAACTTGAACACAATTTACTTTTTGATTAACTTTAACAACCAATTATTATGGTTGATTGATTGATTGATTGATTATCAACTAAAGGGTTGGTCATAGAGATCAACTAATTAGATGGTTAAATTGATCAAGATTAGTTTTGTTGTTATTTTGATTTTAATTAGCTAATTAATTTGATTAATTTGGTAATTTGAAATGAAATATTCATTTGGATTTAATCAGTTTGTTGTGATCTTTGTTGATTGTTGATTGTCTAACTGAATTAAACTTGATCATTTTGTAGACGAAATAAATTAAGTTAATTAACTGTCAAGTAGTAAATAATCATGAAAGGTAATTAATTAAATTGTACCAATAAATTTGATTAAACAAAATCAACAATCTTAAAAGAGTTGAAAAGTTATTTAACAAATTGTCACAATTGCGAAAACAAAAGTTTATTATTCTTGATATTTGATTAACTAATTGTTAATTGATTTATCTTAATTATCCCTAAACAGATCGCTAATTGTTCATCCTGTTTAACTGATTAGGTTAACAGAATACAATTCAAACATGATCACCATATTTGATCATCTAAATTTTCATGAGTTTAACTCAGTTAACTAAATGATTACAATTACCAATCAACCAATCAATTGATTCACACTAATTGCGTCAATTTCCTGAATGAAACTATGGAAAAATTATCCTCTTAAAATTAAATTGAGTTAATTTGTTTCTTTTTCAATTAACAGGAAAAAAACTTTGTAATTTGATATAAATAATTAACATTAATCACTGGGAATTAAGCAGAGAAAAAGTTAACAATTCTAATTGCTCATAATCCGGATGAAGTTAATTAAACTGTTTCCTTTTATTGGCAAAAATTAAACATAAAGATGATGATTATTATCATTACCACGAAATGAGATTATTTAATTACGATATTTATAATAAATTACAGCTTGTTAACAATCAAAAGCATAATCATTAACCATAATGATTATAAACAATTACGATATAAGTAATAAATTGAGCTATGGTTCCAACTGATTGTTGACAATTAGGTTGCCATGAACATGGAGAGAGCTGAAAAATTAACTCATTAATAGTAATCAATTTGTTCAATAAGAAACAATTTCGACTCGAAATGATTTATTAATCAATTACAATCGAAACCAATGATTTAGTGACTCTCTCTCTCTCTCTCTCTCTCTCTCTCTCTCTCTCTCTCTCTCTCTCTAAGTCGTAAATAAGTTCCATGGTCTTTTTAAACTTTTTGAAAAGGTTTCAATTTTATTTGTTGATTGAATTTCGAACCTTTTAATTAATTGAAATTAAGAAAAATTAGTCGTTAGTGTGATGTAAATTACAACCAGTTATTAAATTGTTTTCTCTTTTATATCTTATCGGTAACAAGGAATAGAGAGATGTGATTAAACGAGAATTTCGATAATCTTGTCGTTTTTCATCGGAGCAAAGAACCTCCAGTATTTTCTGAACCATAATTATCATAACTCTCCAGTGTTCTAAAGCTAGATGTCAAGTAATCGTCAGGGATTCCTTGGTCTATAATACCTTCAGATGCGTTGTTGCTCTCAGTTGGTTGCTCAGGTTTCGAAAAAGGATAAAAGGTCTCATCAACCGGAAGTTCGCTCTTAGTTGGTTGACTTTCTTTCAACTCTCCATAGAACTGCTTAGGTTTCGATAAAGGATTAATGACCTCATCCATCTCGGCTTCCGAAGGTAAACCAAAACCAGAATTTTCCATCTCAGTATCTTCTGTATCGGCTTTATTATAAGTGTCCGTCACGTCAAATCCAGATTGCAAGTACTCGGCAAGAACTTCTTGGTCTATAACACCTTCAGCCGCGAGGTCGGTTTCATCGGGGTCATTTCGTTGACTTGCTGTCAACTCACCATAGAACTGCTTAGGTCCCGAATTAGGATTGATCTCAGTTGCAATAGGTAAACCAAAACCAGAATTTTCCATCTCAGTATCTTCTGTACCGGCTAGATTATAAGTCTCCATCACTTCAAATTTAGATGTCAAGTACTCGGCAAAGGCTTCTTGATCTTTAACACCATCAACCGGGAGTTCGCTCTTAGTTGGTTGACTTTCTTTCAACTCTCCATAGAACTGCCTAGGTTTCGATAAAGGATTAATGATCTCATCCATCTCGGCTGCAATAGGTAAACCAAAAACAGAGTTTTCCATCATCATGGAAACAAATATTACGAGTGAAAAGTTTGGAACTTTGTTGAATTTCATGATAACTTTTGTTTCAAATTTGATTCAATGTAATAAAAGTGATAACTTGGTAACAATTAATTTCCAATTAATTTGCTATTTACTAAATAGAAACGAACTGTTAATTTGATGATTTTCACATTTTATACTTTAATCTAATAGCTGATTGTTTAAATATCAGCTCTGATATTTAAAGAATTAAATGATTTAATCCCAACAGAATTAGGCCAAATCGATTCTTAATTAGTTTGTTCATACTATTTTAAAACTCCAATTGATTACTTACTAAGTCAATATTATTCACTTTTCAGCTTATGTAATAAGCTGGTGATTAATAAAATTGATTGAATATAATATTTTGAGAAGGAATCAGTTCCAAATTCAAAATTTATTCCCGGGGAAATTGCGAGAGAATTGACCTCATATCAATGGTCATTATGGTCATTTTTTACCAATCAATCAATAGTCCACAAAATACAAACGACAATTGAACCCATAGGAATTACTATTAAATCGGTTTAATTGTCATTCAGAAAGCTGAACAATCAGCCGGAATTACTGATTACCGATTTCGGGTTAAAATCGCAATTTTTTGTTTTCTAATTTTCTTTGTTTACTTTTTGTTTACTTTGCTGATTGCTTGTGATTATGTTGATAAATTAAATTGCCTCCACCTTAAATTTTAAATTAAGAGTGTCAATTACCCTTAGTAACAAGATTAATTCAACTAATTAATCTCTAAAACAATCAGATAATCTGATAATCCAAATGGTTGTTGATTGTCCTTCTCAAATTTTTTTTTCTTCATACTTTTGTTGATTGTTGTCTTACAATCAATTGATTGCAGCTAATTTGGTCTCTTTCTTTACCTGTCTGTCTGTGTTTACCATGTTAATCCAGTTTAATTCTCAATGTGAATCAAATCTGATTAGATTAATAATCTACTTTCTTGTTATGAAACTGTTACCATTGTTATCGGTTATTGTTTATCAAACCTAAACACAGAAAGAGAGAGAAAATTTTTCAATTCAATTTGTCTTGATTGTTTGCAGTTAATTAAATCAATTAATCAATTATACTCAGACTGATTTTCCTCCACTTCTCAAGGGTAATTCTAATTGTTGATAATCATCATCGATAATCTTCTGGTACACAAGCCAATCTACTTGTCATTTAATGTTGAATATTCATCAACTTTTTCTCAATCACTAATCGTTTACATGGTAACATGGTCTCTCTAACCCTATCAAAGTTATTTACTCGGGTAAGTAAATCTAATTAAATTAAACACCATACAGTTAATTACTATTATCTTTGAGTTAATTGTTGTTATTATTTTCTTTCATTTTGATTACAGGGTCTTTCCAATCTAAGGCTTTATCCAGCATCGGTTAAGGTTGTCGAGGTTGGACCAAGGGATGGATTACAAAATGAGAAGACAATTATTGACACTTCGATTAAGGTTGAATTGATTAACAGATTAAATCAATGTGGATTAAAGGTCATTGAGGTTACATCATTTGTCTCACCTAAATGGGTTCCACAAATGTCCGATAATAAGCAAGTCTATGGGCAGATTACCAAGAGAAATGATGTTAGTTATCCGGTTCTGGTTCCAAATTTAAATGGCCTGAAAGATGCAATTAACTCTGGTGTTAAGGAAATTGCTCTTTTCATGGCAGCTACTGAATCTTTTTCAAAGTAAGTTGATTAATTTGATTGTTTAATTGTTCTAATGGTTTGATTTTCTATTTCTTTTTTTCAACAGGAAAAACACCAATTGTACAATAGAGGAAAGTTTCATTCGTATTGAAGAGATCATGAAATTGGCTCTGAAAGAAGGTCTCAATGTTAGAGGGTCAGTTAATTGTTGTCTCGAATATTAATTGTTTGATTCTCTCTTTCATCATAATACTAATTAGCTATTTGATTAACTCGAAATTGTTACTTGACCAGTTTAACAACATTTTCGATACTTGTGAAAGGTCACATTACATTGGCCTCTTACTATTGGATTATCGTTGAATTTTGTTGATCGTTTTTTATTTCATGATATTCACAATTGAACCTCTTCTTGATGTTTTATGATTATGATTCGTAACAATTTGAAATGAGGCCATTTAATTATCTAAATGAAAATCTGAAAATCAACTTTTTCTTCTTGTATGCTGGTTAATTAACTCTACGTTTTCCCATTCATTTGCTCAGGTATATTTCATGTGTTATCGGTTGTCCATATGAAGGTCCAGTTGACCCTGAAAAGGTGACTCAACTTTCCAAACGATTATATGAACTTGGATGTTATGAAATTTCACTTGGTGACACAATCGGAATCGGAAATCCAGGAACTTTTGAGAAACTATTGGATAAAATTACTCGACAAATACCAATTGATTGTATTGCCGTTCATTGTCATGACACTTATGGAATGGCTTTGGCCAATATTTATGCTGCTCTACAATTTGGCATATCTACTTTTGATTCATCTATTTCTGGTCTTGGTGGTTGTCCCTATGCCCCCGGGGCAACTGGAAATGTAGCAACTGAAGATTTGGTTTACATGCTCCATGGTATGGGAATTGAAACCGGAATTAATTTTGATGATTTAATGAAAACAAGCTCATTCATTAGCTCAACACTTAATCGTCAACCCGCTTCTCGAGTGTTTAAAGCTTTAAATGTCAAAGAGAAAGTCAACTAAATTAGTTAATTACAATTAACATCCTGGATTCTGAAAAAAATTTGTGCCTTCTCACAATCAATCAATTAGATATTCAACCAATAATTGATATTTTTAGTCTTAATTGTAAAATTGATTAGCAGAAATATAAAAATTTTCTCATTTCAAGAGATTACAATTGATTAACAATTGTCTTTGTTTTTATTTGCTCATCATTCAAATGATTTAACATTTAAAACAATTGATTAGTTTGTTAATTGTCAGAATTTACAAAGTTTACAATTTTTTTGATTGTTTACAAATGTGACAATCAGACAAGATGATGAATTGAAAAGATATGATTACAATTAAATTGGAATAGAGAAAAATTAATTCTGATTGAGTTTCAAGATAATTGAGGACGTTAATTAAATGTCAACAATTTAGTTACTATTATACAAAAAAAAGATGATTAAAGTTAATTGTTTATAAGATAGGGATGAAAAAAAGACACATTAATGGTTGTTGATCTGTCCTTGATTGTAAATCTCTGATTTAAGATTAAATTAACAAAATTGATGTAATTAAAGGTAATCCTAGAGTTGGAGCAATTAAAAAACTTTCATGGTCATCAAGTTATGATTGAGATAATTAAATTTAATTCTGTTGGAGAAATTGAAAATTAAATCTAAACCATTTCATTTACGTGACTTATTTGATTAAAAGCCAATAGATTGGATCACAATCAAATTCAATTGTTAATAATAATTTAAATAAATCATTTGATTGATAACAATTAGTGATAAATACAATGAAAAAAGCAACAACAACAATTTATTGATTGTAGTTCATTGTTCATATAAATAAGACAATATAAATGAGATTATTTTTCAATCAATTGATTGAGCTAATTGTGGTAAATCATTTCAATTTTTCTCCAGAGGATCAAACAATTAACTAATTGTGATAAAAAAGAAAAAAAAATTAATAAGAAATTCAAAGATCGAATAGTTTATTAATCTATTCAATAGATGGCGACACATTCGGGCGAATCTAAGCTTAGGCTTATGAAGTGTTAATTTTGGTTCCTAATAATTATTTCGTTAATTTTAACAATCAAAGTTTTCTAATTGATCTAATTTGGATTTAAAGTGTTTGTGAAGGTGTAAGGATCAAAAAATAAAAGGTAAGAAAAAGAAAAAACAATAAATAAAAGACATATATCCAAGTTAAATATTACCCTTTGGGTGCGGTCTGATGACCAACAGTTTAAACATGAACCTTGTTCAACAAGTTTACAAATCAAATGAAAAATCAATATTAACATTAACTATTTTCCTTTTTCTCGATCTTTAGAATTCGAAATATGTCTGAATTAAACATAGACAAATTTGTGAGAAAAATAAACAACCGGGTTCCGACACGGAAAGATTATTTTACGGAAATCGCGAAGATTCCGACCAGAGAATTGACAACAATAATAAGGAACATTTCAACAGTTTATGAAGAACTTGAGAAGAAAACTATTTCAATCAGTCAATCGGCAATTGGAAAGATGTCCCATATTATTACATATGCTAGGGACAATATGGAAAAGCTGAATCTCTTGGAAGCGGAAGTCGACATCATAAAATCTTTTTCAGAAGATAAATTTGTCCGAACTCCTCCAGTTACAACAATTGAAAAAGAACCGATTAACACCTACTCGAGAAGTGATATTGTGTCTCCATGTGAATCAGTAACTGGGGACTCAGAAATATCTGAGTTAATAAATAAAACATCAGATGAACCAGGTCCTTCGTGGAGAAAAGATGATGAAATATCCATTCCATCGATATCTGGTATTCAATTACCAAAGACAACAGTTATTGACGAAGATGATTTAAATGATGAACAACTGGAAGAAGAGGCAGTTATGGATATTGATTCGGATCAACCAGAGAGACAACTGAAGAGAAAATTTGGAACTATCGACCTTCACCGAGAAAATGTAAAAGTCAGATTAGACAACGTCAGAAAAGTAAAAAAAGTGTTTCATCGGGTAGAGGATAAACCAATACCTGATAAATGGAAACCCTGGTCGACCGCATTAATGGAACCATTAATATTGATAAATCACCCATCGATTCCACCATTTAAATTGCTGGTTGAAATATCTCAAGCACTGAAATCGAAAGCACTGGAAGCGTTTCCAGCCAGAATAATACGTGGTAGAGATGCCGTACGAGTTGTATGTTCAGATCTACAAGATATACAACTGGCTCGGAAATCGCTATTGGAGTGGCGTTCAGATCTCATTATTAAAAAACCGAGTTGTTACGATCCCAAGGTAAAAATGGCAAAAATCCCAAAAATTATTGAGACAGATGAAGAAGCAGTTAAATTGGTGGATGAGATAATGATCCAAAACGGAGCGGGTGGAAAAGGCAATTGGTCATTTGTTCATCGCCTAGTAAATAGACCGATAAGAAAAACCGATATTATCATCAGCATAACACCAAGAATACGTGATTTCGTACAAGAAAGAAGAGGAAAATTTTTTTACGATTTCAAAGAAATAATAATCACCGATTTTTTTCATGTTCGCATGTGCTATCGCTGCTTTTCTTATGAACACATCGCTAAAATGTGCAAAAATCAACTTCGCTGCCAATATTGCACTGGTTCACACGACAGTAAAACCTGTGGAGTTAAAAATCAACCTCAATCATATCAATGTGACGTATGTAAACAAAAAGGTAATCCCAATATTAATCACACACCATTTGATTGGGAATGTCAAGAATATCAAAAAAGATTGAGACAAGCGATCCAACTAGTCAATTACGACTATCAATGGATCATGAGGGAATGAACTGAAGGTAGACAAATAACATCAATAATCACAATAGAATGAAGATTAAACTATAACTTTTATTTTCTTTTTAATAGATACGATTGAGGATAAATAACGAATCATTCACAAAAATTAATGAATGAAGTTTAATTATTACAAATCATCCAATTTGGTTACTTGTTAATAGAATATTAATAAGGATCATGAATACATCAAGAAATTAGACTGAACAATTTCATATTATTATTACTTTTCTCACTCTACATTAATTCTTTTCCTTAAATTCAACACTCTGTTCTAAAATTCAAACTTAATTATTATCAAAAAAAAAACATTTACTTCTTTCTTTAAGCTTCTAACAGATCATCATCATTCACAAGATCAACAACATTTTCAGCAACAGCTCCAATAGCGTCAATGGAAGTTTCCGCTTGTGTATTATTTACTGAATCAGTAATCTCTCGCCGATATCTGCCCAAACATTTTAAACGAAGCTGGTACTCGATATTATTATTTCGTGGATTTCCTCTAACCAAGTTTAAAGGAGCGTTTACCGGCAAAGTATCAATAAAATCACCAACGGTGGTAAATTGTTTGATGGAACAATGCTGGACGCTCATCAGATCGATCTCGTAATTTATTGATTAAATCAATGGCTGATTGATCTCTGGATGTAACAATTTTTGGAACAGCCTTGGTAAATCGGACATTGAGCACTATGGGAGAATCTGATGGCAAATCACCATAAAGAATAGCTTTTTCCTTCAATGATTCATGAAAATTGTAACTGGACATTAGCTCATTTTTTTGGGTCATCAACATCTCAGTGAAGGTTTTCGGTGGAGGAGAATTATTATTAATATTGATATTATTAATAAAGAAGTTGATTCCACCTCGACTATGAGCTTGTTTACAACCATTATGATGAGAAATAAAAACTTGTACCTTTAAATCCCGTTGACACAAATCACAATGAACAACAATATTATTATACATTTGCTGTTCGAATGAACCAAGATATCGAAAATATGGATCACGGAAGTCATAACAACAATTAGAAATAGGACATTTAGTTTCCATTTTTCGATAGCGTTCATTGTATCGAAAGAAAGTATTATTAGCCGATCGAGGGTAGCAACAAGTGCTACAAAAAACTTTAGTACAAAAAACTCTTCTATTTCCGCCATCGTGAACACGAGGATCAAGAGCTAAATTGTTACAAATAGCACAAATAAAGAAAGATGAATAATCAGGGCTCTTAATATTTTTAGAAAGAATAGGCATTATGACAAATTATTAATAAAACAAGAGTAACAAAAAAAAAACGCAATCTAATGAATAATCATCAGAATTAACATTCATATTTATAGTATTTTAAGTTTCGCGTGCTTTTTTTGCCAAACTCCTCCCCTTCCGGTCATTTACCGCCAGGAAGTGATCATGATAGCGTCAAAAAGCAATCATGTTGAATTTAGTTCATTGGAATGTGAATAAGTGTTGGGAAAAAATGAACAATATCATCAGCGACGAACGCAATAAAGACGCGATAATATCAATAAATGAAATCTCTCCAACTTGGATATCGTTTCGTATAGCGGATAAAGCGGATCAACTGGAACAAGGGAAAATAGTCAAATCCAAAGTGATCGAGTTCATGGACAAGAAAATATTAATAAATCATCATACATGCTTGGTGATTCCCTCTAAATTTGTATGGACTAACCTCAACATTAAAATGGATAATGTGTTAGCCATCAAACTAATAATCAACAACAAATATTATTATTTGATCGCAGCCTACAGACACATGAGTGTAAACGCCAAATTTTTCATGGAGATCAGTGAATTGATCAAGTCAATAAAAGGTCCAATATTGTTTTGCGGAGATTTAAATGCGGAGTGCTCATTATGGTCACCACGAGTGGTCAAGTTTAATACTCATTGTCAGGAAATTTGGCCTGGTAAATTTAGATCCGCTCATAAACCAATCATCGAAAATTTTACATTTCAACGAGCTGATTTACGGACATATATTGATTGTCAATTGTTCACCGATGAATGGATTCTCTTGAAATCAGGAATAATAAAGACACAATCAGACCACAATATTTTAACCATGACCGTGTTTTCTATGAATGGTGAATCTCCGAGATCGACCTGGAGGTTGAAATTAAGGAAATTAAAATTAGAGATAGAGATAGAGGAACCAGTTCATCCATCTAATATTTTAACAGCTGAATCTCCACTCATCAAGGCGATAAACGAAGTGGTAAACTTCCCGAGAAAAAATGGAAAATGGGTCAATACCACGGAATCTTTTACATCGTCGAGTTACCGCCGAAAAATTCGAAAATTAAAATCGAATGAAGAAATAAAACAATTACGACAAAAACATGATAAATTATCGAATTTGAAACAAAAAAGCTTCTGGCAAATAATATCAAACATCAGAAGAGACGACAATCCTTACATTTTGTGCGACACGGAATTTCATGGCCGATATAGAGCGTCAATCGAATCACAATTGATGGAATTCAGTAAAAATAAACCGATATTTAACGATGCCGATGCGAATTTTGTTGAAGGAAAAATATCGGACGAGGAATGGGCTCAATCATTCAAAGATACGAAGAGATTTCGATCATCATTGGGAGCGGATGGTTTTGAAAAGAAAAAATGGATTAAATTCAGAGAAAGGAATGATTTATTATTGAGATCAATAGTGAATCAAATATTCGAAATCTCTTATATACCAGAGTGTCTACGAATATTAGGTGGTGGTTTCGTACCAAAACAAAATACCAACAAAGTAAGGATGGTCAGGTCGCCGAATTATTTATTCAAGACGGTGGATAAAATTTTAAGCTACAGGTTGTTAAATTATTGCGACGAAAACATACCACCGGAGACACAATTTGCGTTCGTAAAAAATGCAAACAGAGAAAAGCTAATATTGAAAATGTCATTTGAAACCAATTGGTCGAACATAAGAATACTAATATTAGATGTTTCGTCGGCGTTCGATAAAGTATCTTTGCGAAGATTGGTGTCATCAATGAGAGAAAAACAAGAAGATTTGGCCTCACTTGTACAATCGTTTGGATCGAATAGGTGGACTACATTTAATATCGATAGAAGTCGAATGTACTTTCAAGAATCAATAGGAACTCCTCAAGGATCATCTTCAGGCCCATTATTATATGTGTTGGCATTGAGTGAACAAATACAAAGCCTGAGAAGCAGGGGAATTAATATCGTGGCCTATGCAGATGATCTTTTGATAATAATAGAGAGAAAAGACGATGAAGAAATGATAGTTGAGGACGTTAAGGAACATCTAAAGAATATCAACCTGGAATTGAATTTGGAAAAATCGAAAAGGTATGAAGGTAATTTCAGAGAGATGAAATTTCTTGGATACTATTTCTTTGTACCATTCAAATTCACGGATATAAAGAAAGTGATTGATGATCTTCGAGCCAAATTATCATCATCATTTAGATGCCCACAGTTAACCATGGCCACGTTACCGGTAAAAATAAAAAAGCTGATATTGAGCAACATCATATATCCCAAAATAAGAGCGATCGGATACTCAATTTTCTTGGAATCAAAGAATACATTTGTTAAGATTTTTCAATTGCTGAACTCGACAACATCAATAATAGAAAGTTCAACTACATCAGGAGCAGCAATTTGGAGCTTTTATAACATGGGACACATTTTAGAAAATATGTGGCTTGAAGCCTGGCTATTTTCGAACAGAAGTGTCAACAGTAAAATTCACTCAGATTACGTTCTGAATGACTCGAAAGCCTTACCACAAATTGATCGCCAGAATAAGAAACAGTTGATGTCGAGATTTGTGGAAGATCCAGTTCCACGTTCAGTTGAATATCATCTCGACACTGACCAAATAACAATAGGTGTTGGCCCATTCAATGTCAATGGTTACGTTTATGAAAAGAAAACACAATGGGAAAACTATCTTTTAATGATTCATGCACAATTAGAGTTCCTGAAACGAGAAAAGATGGAAAATCTCATTATTATTCCAAACAAATTGAAACTAACGGTGGATTCGAAATCGAATTATGTCAACGACACGTTCGCGATAATGGATCAATTTAAGGATTTAACATGGCAATGGACCTATGGTGATTGTATTAAATATGAATTTACACCAATGAGAAAAGAGAATATTAATACAAACTGGACATCAACAAATCAATGGCAAGAGGAGAACAAATTGGAAATTCGAACTGAATTGGTGAAATGGCTAAGAAACAACGGAGATGCAATAGCATCAATATTCCCTGCACACGAATGTCTATTCAACGAATTTGGTTATGCTGAAAAAATATCTTACCATAAGCTAATACATCACTTCGAAAATTATCAATTGCGAATTCTGAATTTTAAATGTTGTTCAATGGATCATCATCCACTTACCTGTCCAGAAATAATAAACAGTGCGGCAAAAGATTTGGAAATGGATCAACATTTTAACCTGAACTTTAAACTCAACAAAAATAATATAACTTCATACACTTCAATCATTGAATTTGTAATAACGACCTTAGGGGAACTTAAAAGATCATGTATTCTATTACTGTAACCTTAAATTTTACCCACTCTCATCAATTTCCTCTCTTCCCAACCCCAACAATTACCATGTCCTTTTTTCCCAATCCTTTGTACGGTTGTAATTGCCGGAAACGATGAATATTAATTCATCGAAACCTCCCCTGAGGTCGCTGTTAAAGCTTCAATAAACTTATGAAAGAATCTGAAAAACAACAACAACAACCTGGAGATTCACAAACCAATAAACAAATTAAAGTTACGTCTTTTTTTTTAATTAGTGTCCTAATTAAATTGATTATCTTGGTTTTTATTATTTACTCTGTTTATCTAAATTAGTGCCAAAATTGAAATATTATAAGTAAATGTGTTGATCAATTTTCTAAATAAAAGAAAAAGTGAATTACATCGTAAAGGGAAAAAAAATACTCTCACCTAAAGAGTTGGTTTTTTTTTCTCTTCTCTCCTGATATATAAAACCAGCTTTTTTTTATATAGTCTTCATTTTCTGTTGATTTTTTTCTTCCTTTTTTGTCCAATTTTATATTGAATTTCTTTAAATTTTGCTTATAGCAAATTTAGAGAGAAAAAGATTGATATATATATATAAATATAGAGAGAGAGATGGTGATGATTTGAAAGCCTGAAACATGCAGCCAACTACTCGGAGGAAAAACTCTGAAAAGCGTAAGGAAAAGTCGAGATATGCGGCGCGAGCGAGACGAAGCCGTGAATCTGAGATATTCACCGAGATGAGCGCCCTTTTACCCTTACACCAAACAATTGACAAAGCATCGACCATGAGACTTGCTATCAGCTTAATCCGAACCCGAGATCTAATGGAAAAGTGTAATTTCGAGATAACCAGATTCAAACACGACATTCTATCATCTTTTGATAAAACAATCGACATTTTTGATCTAATTGATACTTTCCTCATTGATGCTTTCCTAATCGTTTTAACTTCGGATGGTCATATACCCTATATATCGGAAAATGTTGAAAAATATCTTGGATTAAAGCAGATTGACCTTCTTGGTACCATGATATTTGAATTCACCCATCCTTGTGACCATAATGACATTCGAGATGTACTAACCAATAAATCTGGTTCAATTCCAAGTCCATTTCTTATTCGTATCAAATGTACAATAACCAGTAAAGGGAAAACGATTAACCTCAAATCAGCTGCTTATAAAGTTATCAAACTAACTGGTCATTGGATTGGTAATCAATCAACTGGCTACCTTTGTCTTACTGGTGAACCATTGGCCTGTCCAACCAAAATCGACGGACCAATAGCAGGTCAAATGTTTCTTAGTCGCCATTCACCCGACATGAAATTCACTGATATTGATGAGAGGTTAGTGTTTAAATCTTTCAATTGGATGAAATTTTCTTTTTGCTTCTTTGGCCTTTAATTGTTCAACTAATCAACTTTTGTCTTGTCTCTCTCTGTGTGTGTGTATCTCTTAATTATGTTAGATTTTATATGGATAATTATTATTGTTATATCTCGTTTACTTGATCTTTGGCCTGTAGAAGAAAAATCTTCAGATATTGATTATTATCTCAATTGAAAGAAAACTAGGGAAAAAAAAGTTGATATTCCTCTCTAAATGTTAGCGACACAATTAGATGTTGAAACATTTTCTCAATCAATTGACAACAATTAACTTCTTTAAACGCTTAACCAATTAATTTACGAATAATCAACTGATCGAATATTTTTTTCTTCTCTTTCTCTCTTAAGATTCACCAAAGTTCTTGGCTACGAACAGGAAGATCTACTTGGTAAATCGGTATACAATCTATTCCATGCATCAGATTGTCTCAATCTAAGCGATTGTTTCAAGACTTGTACGTAGATTAATTTTCATCTTAATCCACCAAATCATCTCATTACCTTAATCCTCAATCGATCAACGATTATGTGACAAGAGAATCAGACAAAAAAAAAGCTAATCCAAAATGCATTTGATTTGAATTTACATTCATTTTACAAAAGTAAATCAAAATCAATATCCATAAGAAATGTGAATGATATCAAATGAATCTGATTACTTCAGATCGTTTTTTCCCCGACTAATCACTAATCATCTCATGATTACTCTGGAATCACTATTATCATCTGAACATTATAAGTGGATAGTAAAACAATATGAGTCTGAAAGAACAAAAAAAAATAGTGATTATTATCAATGGATTAAGAGTGAAACGTTTAAATAGCCTCAAGAAGTTGAATTGTTGTATTTTTAGATTATCCAAATTAATAACTCCTCCTTTATCATCATGACTTTTCCCCATCATCATGTTCAGGGTTTTCCAAGTAAAATTCTGGTTGAACAGAGAAACAGAAAATTAACTTTAATTTTCTTTCCAGATTCACAATAATTATCCTTCTCTCTCTCTCTTCTCTCTGACTGAAACTCTTAATCCTCATAACTTAATCCATAAACTAATCTCTATACCCTTTATCTAAATGAATAGCCATGAATGTTCATTGAAAACTCTGATAGTTTGAAATTTCAGGAGAACTTTTTTTTCTTCTTTCTTTTTCCTTTGTCAATCAAGAATCGATTTTAGAAAAAAAAACTTCTCCTCTCTCTCTCTCTCTCTTCCTCAATCCTCCCCGCCTTTAAAACTTGCGACATTTTTTTTGGCTAATTAACAAAGTTAATCTTAATCTAAATTAATCCGCCAAAAAAAAGTGTTTCCTTTATTATTATCCCTTCACAATTTATAAATATAAAAAGATTGATCTTGATAAAATTAACTGTAGATGTGAAGTTATGATTAAATTTGAAAAGAGTAACAGTTTTGTTCAGTGTGTTTGTTTTTAGCTCAGTAGATTAATTAATTAACCGATTTCATGGTGAATCAATTTTGTTTCTTTCATGATTGATCACATTTTTCTATCCTCTGGATATTCAATATTTTCTGACCAGGGAAGAAGATCCATTGATCTAAACTCATTCATCTTCGTCCCTGGTCAGTGTTTCATTCATTCATCTCCTCTTTACATTCACTCGAACACTTTGAGATACCCTTTATATCCTCTCTGTATCTTCTCCCTGAAAATAATTCTCCCCACATGAAGATAGGGTGTCCTTTTTTTCTGAGACGTCTCCATGAGAGATAAGTTTATTTTCCTTCCTCTTCCAGGAGCTTTTTTCTTTTGGTTATGGTCAATTCTGGTCACTGGGTAATTAGAATTTTCTCAAGGCCTCAATTGATTTTCTCTCTCTCTCTCGTTCTTCATTCATTCCGTATTAATAGTACTATTTGTGTGTAAATATATTCGATTAAGATAATTTCACTTTTGTTCTATTCTATTTGCACATTTCTCCTATTTGGATAACATCTTAACTGGGACACCCTTTCTTTCAAAATGATGAGCATCAATTATTTTAACCATGAACTTTTAACACAGAAAGTGAGAGGGAGAGGGAGGGAGGGAGTGAGAGAGAGAGAGAGAGAGAGAAATTAGGATTAACTTGATGATGATGATGTAGAAGAAAAAAAACAACTAAGAAGGAGATTAATATTTGATAAATTCGTTGATTACGTAAATGGGGGGAGAGGAAAAGTGGTCAACTCGATTGAGAGACTCTTTGGTATATACAGAGTGTTTCACTCTAGTGTTCCTAACGAAATTGAGTTGACCACTTATCTTGAGAATTGGTGACAGTTAAGAAAAAAAACTCTGGTCAGTTTTTTTTGCTCTCTCGTTGATTTCATTTTTTAAGAATATTCACCAAATGAATATAAGATATTGAATCGTTTCTGCGCATTCAAGTGGGTTGATTCAAAATCGAACACAAACTTTGACAATACCCTGTAAGGTAGAGAGAGAAAGACAGAGATAGAAAGAGAACGAGGATGAAAGAAAGAGAGAAGAAGATAAAAAAGAAAGTGAGGGAATGTAAAAAATAGGGAGAGTAAGAGTGAGAGTGAGAGATACATGATGAAGAAAGAGTAAGATTAGAGTGAGAGAGAGAGAGAGAGAAGAGATGATGATAATGGTGCAAGAAAAGTGAGAAAGATCAAAAGTAAAAACTGTTTGTTACTCGACTCACAAACATACACATTCACCATACAGGGTGTTAAGAATATAACATATCCAGGGCTTAACATTTTCCCCTTGCGCATTAATCGTTTGCTGGATTTGTTGATGTTTCTCTTTTTTCCCACTACGATTAAACCACCTCTGTCTCTCTCTCTCTCTCTCTGTCTACCATTTACTACGTTGCGCAATTTAATCTCCACCCAATTGCCGTTATTTTATTTCCACCCTGTACAACTTTCTCATAGTGTGTCCTCTACCCTTCTCATCATCATCATCATCTTTTTGATCAACTTTTTTTTCCTTTGATTTTTTCCTTTTTTTCTCTCTCTGGTTTTCATTTTTGTTTCTTTTTTTTTAAATTAAATTATTTTTTTATTCTAATTGTTGTGTGTGTATGTGTATTTACCTCTCTCTCTACTGACCTTAATCTCTCTCTCACTTTCTCACTCTGTGTATATTTTCTCCCCATTCTCCCGATTCAGTGTTCACCAAAGGCCAATCTGAGACTGGATATTACCGATTACTCGCTAAACGAGGTGGTTATATTTGGATACAAACCCAAGCAACGTTGATAACAGACAATCACACACAACAGCCAATCAGTGTTGTCTGTGTGAATTACGCTCTCAGGTAATTAAGTGTTTTTTTCTCTCTCCTCTCTTTGATTAGTGTTGATTGTTGGACGAGAGAAAATCGAAATTCTCTTATACCAAATTGATATTGTTCATGTTTTCTTTTAGCATTTCCTTGATTCGCTTTTCTTAATTTCTCTCACTTTTCCCTTGACTCAGTTTTCCCTTTTACTTTTTTGCTTCTTAATTTTCCCAATCACATTTACATCTCACTATGCATACTCACTCTCACTCTGTCTCTCTCGCTCTCTCTTTCACTCCCCCTTTTATACACTCTGAGGATTCCAATTAAGTAATTAAATTGATTACAATTAAACAATCAAAATGCAGGCAAATTAATGTCATTGAAAATTTAACGGGAAATTAGTTGATCCCAATAGGTGGCGATTGAAAATCGTTAACACATTAGAAGCTCATTCATTTTGTTGATCATCATCAATTTTCACCCTTTTCTTCATGATGAATAAAAGCTTATCCCATTGTATTTATCTCCCTATTTACATGAAATTAACTGAATTTACTAATGATTCATTTGTGTGCATGGAAATGATCATTATTAGTATTTCAATTTTCATTCAATTTCTCTTTTTTCTTGTTTCTTTTTTTTTCCATATAATCATCATCTCCTCTCTCTCTCTCTCTCCTCTATTGTCTTATCATTATTATTATTTGGTATTCAATTTTTTTCCCATTGTATTAATATTATATTATGCGTGATGAATTGATTTGCATTCATCCGGAAATGCTTGGATTGTATGATTTCCTGATTGTCATCATTTCTTGCTGTTCTTGCTTAAACCAATGCTGTTGCTGCTGCTCATTCATATCTTTATCTTTATCTTTCTTTCTCTCTCTCTCTCTCTATATATATATATTTTTTTGATTATCTACTGATTATCAATTCATGATTTACACTCACACACGATGATTAGTGGAATCGAGAATCAAGAAGAGATTATCTCGGAAGAACAATGTCAAGAGAGGAAAAAGGAATCGTATCATTTGGTTGACAAGACTAATGATGTTCTTATTAAATTGGCAGCGTCAACTCTAATTGATACTAATACTGATACAACATCAACAACAGGCAAACGTATTACGTTAACTACAAATTCTGATAATAATAGTAACACCAACACCTCAAATAGTAACCAAAATAGTCTCCTTGACATAGCACAACAACAACGTCGACAACAACCACAACCACAACCGGAACATCAACTTATTACAAGCACCAATAATCAACAATTTATCACAAACTTATCCGATTACCAATTACCTAGTGGAATATTGATCAATACATCAGAAAATTTACTCAATACTCTTGTTATTGATCAGACACCATCATCTTGCTATTCTCAAGTTAACTCTTTGATTAACCAACAGCAACAATCGGAAGAGGAGGAGAATCAAGAACAACAACAACAACAGCAATATCATCATCTTCAACACTGCCAACAACAACAACAACAACAACAACAACCTTGCAGTCAAGGACAACCACAACTTCTTGATCATCGAGAGCAACTTGAATCGGTACCAATCCAACCATTACCAGAATTAATAACATCTACATTTAATTGCGCTCAATCATCATCTTGCTTACAACAGCAATCACAACAATCACCATCAACACCCATATTGTTTACACCATTAGCCGGTTCTAGTTTACCTACACCGGCAACAGCGACCATTTTTGCGCCTCGAACGGCTGATATGAACCCTGGTTTTCTTATGCCCATCGGTGATGATGATAATGATTTCGGTTTAACCGTTTTATCTGATATTGAGGCTTGTGATCCTGAACAAGATTTAACTCACTTGGCTCCTCAAGCAGGAGACTATTGTGTTCCCCTTGAGATTGGACCTTTACCCTCATTTGATGGTTTCTCAATGGAAGATATTTTAAAAGAAATGGGTTTCGTTACTAATTCTGGTTCTACTTCTTCATCTTCAGCTTCGTCTGATACAACATCAACAACTATTGTCTCTGGTAATCACTCAGGTGATCCAATTGATGATTGTGTTATGTTGGAAGGTAAAAGTGATATTATTGTTGATAATATTATTTTATCTTCCTCTCCTGATGCTTCAACAACTAATCCATCATCAAAATGTACTGATTATTGCTCTAAAGTAACTTTAAATAGACTAAGCAAAAGTTCAATTTCATCTTCAGTAACAATTACTGATTTAAAGACAAAATCAATTGATGAAACTTTGTCTGCTGTAATTAAATCAAATGAAGATCTGATTACTCCATTAGCGACAAACACATCAACAATTATTGCAGTGACTGGAATAACTAACAATGTTAAACAATCTGAATTAATGGTTTCTTTTCCCAATGAGAATAATAATAATTGTGATGGATCAAGTTTACAATCAACCATCACTAATACCTCAAGATCATCAACAACAGTTACCTCAAATGTTGATGATGATAATGTTGATAGAAATATTAACGATAATAATAATAATAGTGTAGATTGTGGTATTGATGGAAATGTTATTTCGGTTGCTGATGATGGTGATTCTGGAGATGATGGTGATGGTAACATTGTAACTGATTCTCAGCATGATAATGATGATGATGAGACTCTTAATTTTACTGATTATCTACCAACGGATAGTAAATTGTTGCCTTTCATACCAACGGCTGTAGCCGAAGAGGAGATTCAATTTTCATGTGATGATGATGTTGATCTTACATCAGAAACTCGTGGCTCTATTGATACAACTGGTGGTTGTGTTAATGGTGATGATAACGGTATCGGTGATACAAATAGTTTAAGTGATTTCCTTTGTAATCAACGTTTGATAGAAACACCAATAATCAATCAACATGAATTGACAACGGAAACAATACCATCAACATCAAAATCAACTGTAACTTCATCATCATCTTCAGTGAAAGTAAATGGCTCATGTAAGGGTGATGGTGACGATGACGATGATAATGATGATAATAACGATGATGGTGAAAGAGAAGATGATAATAAAAGAAAATCGATTAAAAATGGTTTAATTTTGCCCCAAGAATCAACCATGAATACGAAACATGAAACTGGTTATAATAGCAAATGTGATTTTACCTCAGGCGAAGAGGCTGATGATGATATTGATGGAGATGATGATAATGTATCATCTATTTGTAGCCCATCCTCTGGTGGATCAGGGGTTACATGTAATAGCTCAACTGGTAACCTACTTTTAGGTATGACCCTGAATAATAATAATAATAGACATGGAGTCAATGGTTCATCAAGTCCACTTCATAATGATCCATTTTTATCCTTTACTAATGGTCTTGGTGGCCTTGTAAGTGATAATTATCTTTGCTCCCTGTCCTCTTCAAGCTCATCTTCAAGTTCACCAAGTAACTTTTATGTATCTTCATCCCGTCTTACCTCGAGTAGTCCTGATTTCACCTTAACATCAGGTTCAATCAACAGTAATTCACATCAATTGAATACCAAAAGGCCTTCATCGTTATGCGATTCACCACCACCAAGTAGCTGTAATAGCACATTAACTAGTGATCTAGATTTATGTGGTTCTTTTGCTCCGGAAGATGAAGATGAATTTGATTCACTTGGTGGTCGATCAGGATGTGGCCGTAATGATAGAACCATAATCCAAAGGCATTATGATGATGAATTTCCGTTACTACCAAATGATGAATCAATTTGGGATACATTTATTCACTCCAATGATATAAATGATATGATTAACAGTGATGAGCTTCTTTCCTCATCAACAAATCATTTTCCTATTGATGATTATCGTTTAATCTCAGTAACAAAGGATAATGTAAGCAACAAAAGCTCAACATCATCATCATCAACAACCTCATCATCTTCGACGTCATTAACGTCAACAACAACACCAACACCAACAACAACAACAACGAATAATTCAATATCCACTTCTCCGTCTTGTTTATCCTCTTCAAATGTCAACAATTCATCCAATGGTGGTTGTTCATCCGCCGATATTAACAACGATAATAATAATAATAATCGTGCCAATGAATCTTTCCTTTTAAATAGTAACCTGGCCATGTTACTACAAGGAAAAGATACTTCATTTAAAAACTGTTATACTCTATCCAATGGGGGCTCTAATTGTAATAATAACAAACAACAGACAATTAGTCAATCAACGATACAGTATCATCAACAGAACCATCAATACCAACAACAACAACAACAACAACAATCGGCTGTTACTATTGCCGCAGCAACAGCATCTCGAAATCGCTTCCACAATTACTCGGCCAATCTGCCTAATAAAAGCCCCTTGTCCATTTCACCCTGTTCCTCGTCCACTTCTACCTCTACTACCACACCCAATGTTGATAATAATAACAGCCGAATCAATTCCAATTACGTTATAGTACAAAATAATCGTTCAACAATTAATAAAACATCAAACCATTCAAATGGTACAAAGGATATCATCAAATCCGCTCAAAATAACCTCCAAAATTGGTAAGTATTTAAAAGATTTAATTAGACAATCAAATTAGTCAAATTGTTGTTATTTACTTGTGTGTGTGTGTGTTAATGTTGTTTGTATCTCTCTACAAACCATTAATTATGAATAATGAACATGTTAATTGTTATCAACGGGAAAGATCATCAGGCAAGATAAAAATAATTTAGATTAATGAAATGGTTGCCAAACTTTTTCATTTCTTTTGCTTTCTCATTGAAAAATTTTTCCATTCATTTGAAATTCATTTTAAATTAGTTGAATTCATCATAATCATCAATTCTTGGTTTTCCTACAGTTTCACAATAGTAACTTTGTAAAGTCTACAAAGTTTATTATTTATTTAACTAGAATCAGTTGATAATCAATGATTAAAGAGTAAAATTGTTAATATTTTGATTGTTTCATTATTACCTTTTTTCCCTCCTTTAATCATTATGATGATGATGATGATGATCATTGGCACTAATCAGGTTATACAATCTTGAAAACCTTGAAAACGAAACTGGTACCTCTTATTATTGATACGATTAATTGTTTATCAACGATCACCATGTTGATTTATCATGAAAATTCATTCTCATCCAATTTGTTACAATTTAAAATGAGATTAGTTTGTTAATTATGTAATTACAATCAGATGGAATCGATATAATTATCTGTATGTGTCTACCTACGGCCATTTATCTAATGATTTGTTAACCCAATAAGAGGAGAAGGAGAGAAATTAATGAGAACCACCTTGTATCATTATTATATATAATTCATAGTAATTGAATTTAATGCATGAGAAATACAATTATGATGAATGTTCATTGAGTGAAATAGCAACATTTTTTTCTGATGATTCAGTAATTATCTGAGTTCTAGTTTTCTTTTTGTCTATTTCACTTGATTTCTCTCTCAATCTCACCATGGTCTTTGTGGATTATTTTTTAATTGTTGCATTGATTTTAATTAGAACAAATTAATTTGTTCAATAACTTTTTTCTCTATTTCATTGCATTGAATTTATATATATTTCTTTTTGTTTTCTTTCACAGTGACATGAGCAGAAATGAAATTGACCGTAAATCTGATTATTTTACCCTTGATTCGGAGATGAAAAAATATCGAACCATGGCCGACTCAGTTTACTCCAAACTTGGACCTAGTTACGTTAAAATTGCTCGAAAGTTGGCCTACAATTCATCATCATCGGCATCTTCATCTTCCTCTACACCATCTCCGAAAAGGGCTTATCTTCCTTCAAAAAGCTCGATGGAGAATAACTATAAGCGAATGAAATTGCCTTCAAGTGAGTTTTTCATTCTCATCATCTTTTTCTCTCTCTCTCTCTCTCCTTCCATTTTCACTAATCAATAAAATCATCATCAACTTGATGCCTCATGATGGAAAAAAATACGAATCAAGATTCAATGAGCATAAGAGAAGAGGCGAAGCAAAGAAGGAGGAGTGAGATAGAGAAACTGAGAGAGAGAGACAGAGAGTGAGAGAGAGAGAGAGAGAGAGCAAGTTATTAGTATTGTTATCATCGTTTTGAGGATAATCATAATGATGATGATGAAGAAAAGAGTAAAAGTAAACAAACAACGTAACGAAATTGATATTTAATCATTCTCAGGTTAATAAGAAAATTTTTACTTAAATACTTGGTTAATTAATGATTAATGGTGTAGTAAAAAAAAGAGGAAAAGTAATTAAACAGATTGATGCTGAAAACGGAAAAGGAAACAATATTGAAATGTGTTGACATGTTACTATCAATTTCTGCTAATTTAAGATCTCATTGATGAGAGAGAGGGAGAGATTAAGTCTGACAATGATGTGCTTTTTTTCACTGTATCATCATCAAGTCTTTATCTCCTCCTACTTAATCTTTCATTCTGTGATTTAAATCACAATCAAGTTTAATCAATCACTTTTAATGAAGTATTATGTATAAATGGGATAAAGTAAAATCTATCTGATGAAACTTTATCATAATCTCCTCATTTCTGATATCATTGATTTCTGATTCTCTATTTTGTTTCTCATGATAAATATCAGGTTAATGCTACAAGATAATTTAAATGTTTAGATTGAAACAGTCATGATTATCACTATTTGAAAATGTCTATTGTCATTTGTCTTGTTCATCTTTGTCTTCCTGATTTATCTTCCTTTCTCTCTCTCTCTCTCTCTCTCTCTCTCTCTCTCTCATCACTCTCTCAATTTATTTTGTCAATTGAGGACAAACCATCACATCGGGTGTATACTTGATTAACTAATTTGTTTCTTTTTTTATTCTCTACTTTTTTCTCTCCCTTTCCTCATGATTTTCATGATGATAATTCCCCACCCCTACTCACTCACTCACTCTCTCTCTCTCTCTCACAGCACTGCCATCAATGCAAGGAACCTCGGTGCTCATGAATCTATTGGTTAATGGTGAAGATGTAAACAATGGTTACTCCCGATTCCAGTAGCAATCGCATCTTAAAAATAACAGTATAACAAACTGATTGTAGACAGTTAATAATTAATTTTGATTGCTAAATGTGTAAAGAGATTAAGTAATGATTATAATCGTTAATTACCAATGAAATTAAAAAGACAAGAAGTTTAAATGAAATTGATTGTTACTAATTATTTCATTGATGGCCAATCAATAGTTTAATCAAACATTTTCAAAGTTAATTAAAGGAGAGAGAGAGAGAAAGATTAATATAAACAATCAATTTGATTACAAGAGTTAATTGTTTGTTTAATTGTAATCAAATCTATCATTAAATATCATTATAATTTTTTGGTGAATTTTGTGTAAACAATTGTATTGTATTGATTGTAGTTAATTAACTTTGGTAAAAAAATGTAATAATAACCTCATTAATTTAGAAACAATTTAATTTTTTAGCAGCAATTTAATCAACTGAATACAAAGGAAGATTCAATTGATTTCAAAGGGGAAAAGTTTGTCTTGTTTTTTTTTCTTGTTGTTTATTTTTGATGTTTGAAAATATCGATGATTCTGAGGATCGAGATGAAGATTTCATCATGAAAACTGAAATGGAAGCTGAATTTTCTGTTAACATGATAGTCTCTCTCATTTTGTCTTCCATTTTGTTCATGATTCTTTTCTCTCTTTTTTTCCTTCTTTTACGTTCTCATCTTCTTCTTATTCGTATTCCTTTGATATATTTATTCAGAATTGAATTTCCTTATTCCATTAAACTATAAACACACCCTCATGATATTATCGTCATGAGTATATTCAAATGTGAAACTTACATGAACCAACATTTTCTCACTCATTGGGATCAATTCATTCATGATACTTGACAATCTAATCGATTATCATCACAGGAAATGACTTGTAACAATTAGATTGTAACTCCAATTATAATTAACTTTAATTTCCTGTGGTAGAAATTTTTTTTCTATCTCCAGTTAACTGTTAATTAGCTGATAATCAATAAAAGTTAATCCATTTTCTTATAATCATTGGTAATTAACTTTTCGAGACAACTTTTTCTTTCACTCCATTCAAATCTCACCATGATTCATTAGATATTCATTGGATAGAGAAGATGATGTTCTTTTGTATTATTAACTGATCAACAATTGAGAGAGATTAATTATCTATTAGTGATTATTAATTAATTGCAATATAAAAAATAAACAATCAAATGTGAGATTTTATGTTAAGAAAAATGGTTGAGAAAAAAATATCAACAGTAAGATTAACATTTTCATGGTATCTTCTTAACTTTTACGTATCTATTACTGATTATCTACAAGTTAATTGTCTAATTAACATTTAATTAAAAGCAATTACATTGACACAATTAATTAATTTCGTTTCTTAAACACAGCGACATCTATGAGAGAAAATATTTACTATTGTGAAGAAAATGTTGTTTTGATTTTTTTGTTGTTTCTTTTTTTCTGTTCCCTTTTAAGAAACAATCAAATTAACTTAATTTTATTAATCCAGTGATTAAATTAGTAAGTTTGAATCGTTAATAAGCTTGGGAAGTGTTTAAACTTGGAGACAATTAGTTTTTACGTTTATTGTCTTTGGAATAACAATTAGCCGGTTAACCGAAAATTCTGGTTTACTGGTTAGTGTTTTTTACCATTTTTTTTTTCTTATCATTTGTTTTACCTTTTTGATTGTTGTTGATTATTCACTAATTGTTAACTTCTTTTTTAGAGGGTAATTTCATTCCACTGCCGATTATACAAGTTGCATTTTTGTGTCAACATTTGATTCCAGAGAGAAGACTTAATTATCGATGGCTAATGTTTCCTATTTAGTCGCCACCATTGGAGCGATTTTTGCTATTATTCATTCATCTCTTCATAAGATTGAGGAAGGTTCGTATTTAATTAACCTGTTTTTCTGATCTTTCCTCATGTAATTTCCATGTTTCCTAATTACCCATGAATAATTTTATGTCTCCTCTTTGCTAATCTCATCATTTTATTGTTTCATTTTCCTTTTTGCCATTTACTATCTCTCCCTCTCTCATCTTACAGGTCATGTTGGTGTTTATTACCGTGGAGGTGCTTTACTCAAGGAAACATCTAATCCTGGTTATCACATGATGATCCCTTTTATTACCTCATTTCGTTCAATTCAAGTAACTCTTCAAACGGATGAAGTGAAAAATGTACCTTGTGGTACAAGTGGAGGTGTTATGATCTATTTTGATCGGATTGAAGTTGTCAACCTATTGAGAGCTGATGCTGTTTATGATGTTGTTAAAAATTATACTGCCGATTATGATAAGGCTTTAATTTTTAACAAAGTTCATCATGAATTGAATCAATTTTGTAGTATTCACAGTTTACAAGAGGTTTATATTGATCTATTTGATCAGATTGATGAAAATTTGAAGACAGCGTTACAGGTTGACCTTAATAATATGGCTCCTGGTTTATATATTCTTGCAGTTCGAGTAACCAAACCGAAAATACCTGAAACAATTAGGCAAAATTATGAGAAAATGGAAGGAGAAAAGACTAAACTTTTAATTGCTCATCAAAGACAAAAGGTTGTTGAAAAAGATGCTGAAACTGAGCGGAAAAAAGCTCTTATTGAAGCTGAAAAGGTCGCCAGTGTTTCCAAGATTCAATATGAACAAAAGGTGATGGAAAAGGAATCATTGAAAAAAATGGCCACCATTGAGGATGAAATGTACATTTCTAGGCAAAAAATGAGAGCCGATGCTGAATTTTACGCTATCGAGAAAAAGGCCAAAGCCAACGAGTTATTATTCACACCTCAATACATGCAGATCAAAAAGTACGAATCAATCGCTGCGAATACAAAGATTTACTTTGGTAACAGTTTACCTCGGATGTTTGTGGACAATTCCAGTGGAGATAGAATTAAATCCGATGAATATATTAAAGCCGCAAATGAATTTAACGATAACGAACCAGCCGAATCTTAGTGTTAATTAATTCTCGTTGCTAGTGGTTTAAATTAATTCACAATTTTCTACTCCAATTTTTTTTCCTCTCTCTTGCTCATTTACTACTATTTCTATCTCATTTTACCACCGCCACCACCACCGACACCACGGCCACCACATTTCCACCTTCTTTCCGTTAACAATTTGTTTCTATCAATCAAATTGATCTCCATCTCTTCTGGGACACTTATCGCTGATTAACAATCAAAGTGCCTCAACAATTATGAGCTGACAATTTGTTGTGATTATAAGGAGATCTCAAGGGAAGACCATAAAATTAATATAAATCATTTCCTTACAATTGGTCTTAATCTCAATTAACTTTCTACATACAATTGAAGATTTAACTTGCAATCAATTTGATGAGATTAGCAAAACCAAATTAACAATATTGTCATGATGATGATTATCATCTTCAATTTGGATAATTTATAAGACCCAATGTCGATAAAATCACTCAACTTTAATTTTTTTTTCCTTTTTCAATTTTGATAAAATTCAATCAAAATTTGATAAACTGATTTAATTTAAAGAATTGAGTTCAATCCTGTTTATTATTATTGCGAGAAATTATCTCAAAAGGTTTCAATTCAATTGAACCAGACTGAAAATCTAAATCGCGATCAATGAATAAAATCATAAGAATCAATTTGAATTTAGTAATTGTTTCTAATATAATATTGTTATTTATAAACTTTTGTTTCTTCTTCTAAATATCGTTTAGATTTATATGTAAACAATTAATTGACTGTTGTAGTTGTTGATTGATTAGATAAATTGTCTGAAGAGTTAATTACCAGAGAGGGTTGATTGTAAGGACCAAAGAGATTTATAGCAATCATTTTCTTTAAAATTAACTCCTTGTTCTCGTCGATATCGAATGGACCATTAAACCAAACTTGATTCTTAACATCAGAATCAAAACTAGTTGTATTCAATTGGAAATTACAGAAACCGATTGAATTTTTTGAGAGATTACTGAAAATGTTATTAACTAATATTGGATTTTGTAAGACTTGATAGTTAACTGGATCTTCATGATTATCTCGATTCCCATGCCAGTTACGATATTGAGCTGCAGCATAACCATAACAGAACATGAGTGCGCTAAAATGAAAGAGAATAATGAAAATGAGTAAAATTAGTTGATTGTTTTATGAGGAATTTGTAATGTTCACTTACCGTCCTTTGGCAAAACGATCGACAAATTTTTTGAGTCTAACCTGCGAATCTGTTAGATAGATGGTATGAATTTGATCTTTTTCGGGTAAATTGAAAGGAAACTCTGATGGATACCAATGTGTTTTCTGGAAACAAATTTCCCAATTACAAGGATAAATTGATATAAGGTCTTTATCGATCGTTTTAGTTGGTTCATCAAACGATTTACTTGTATCCAAAACGGGTAAAAGATAATTGTCACTGGAACGTTGAACCAGAGAAACAAATTCACAGTTTAAATCAAGTACGACAAGTTGATTGTCACGAATAAAAGGTAACCAAGCATTGGGAAGGTTTAATCGTCTTCTATCAATTAGACCATGGTGAGCACTTATCCAAAGTTGACATACATCATAGAAACTGCTTAAAATGTTTGATTCTTTTCGTTGAACCTTACATCCAAAAGACCACTTAGGTTTCTTATGAAGCTTAGGGTATTCTGCTATTCTAGGTGTTGCTTGTAGAATACTATCTTCCATGACAGCGAACCTTAACCGTTTTTCCAGCATACGAATGTAAGAATCTTCAATGGTAATAGTAGATTCCAATTTTGCAATCTCATTTGGTAGATTATCTTCACCTTCCATTACAGTATTACTGAAGTTCATGGCTCCTTTGAAACCTTCCAAAATAGTAGTCATCCGTGAGAAAACTTGAGCCCTAACGGGTTTATATTCAGGATCATCGGGTGTTTCTGAAGAAGAATACAGAAAAAAGAGAAGGTGAAACATTAGATCAAGTGAAAAAAAAGAAAATCGAATCCTAGTTAATTTTGTATTACTAACCTGGTTCGAATTTTCTTTCATAAGGCCAAATGTGAGGATCAACCCATGGTTCAGCTTTTTCATTAACTAATTCAACTGCATCAACCGTAGAATATCCTCTAGCAATTGGAACTGAAATCTCTTGAATTTTCATCTTTCTTCTCATATAAAAGGTTCGTCTCCATTGTCTAAACCAACCAGGGCGAAAATTTGGTTCTCTGTCCCATTTTTTATGGAAGAATAAATATTTTGGATGAGAAAATCCTCTAGAAGCAACATTGAAACGCATAATTAAATAAATAACAATCACATCAACAATCTACAAAACAAAACGAAACAATTAATTGTCTATTGTTTTGAATTTACATCAACATGTTTTTGTTGATAAGAAAAAATTTCAAATTCAATGAAAAGAAATTTTATAGATTCGATAGTATCGAAAATTCTTACGATACTATCGAACATTCAGATTCCACTCATTCAGAAAACCGATAAGTTGCTGATTGTAACAATTAAACTTTCCAAGTGAAACTATTATTTCATTAGTCTATTAAATTATTTATAATATGAGCAATTTATTTAAATTCTTCGTAGCTGAAGTTCCATTTTGAAGTTTGTTCGATCTTGGAATTAAATTGGACCATTTGAAATTCGCGGATAAATTTGATTGGCTGATCAAATTCTCGACAAATGATAACAAAAAACTCTAATCAATATAATTGATCATCAATTCAATTGACACTTTCGCTTGTTGTTAATTGTTTTTTTTTTAATTGCTCTTTTTGCTTAATTAACTTAGATTAGTGTTTTTATTATTGCTTTTCGCACAAGTTGTTGACATCAAACATACTAATGGAAGTAAGTAGTTTATTTTGGATTGAATTCTGTTGGAGTAGAAATTTGTAAACATGAATTTTTTTGTTTTTTTAATTTCATTCAATTTTTATCAATTTTTAGCAAGGATCAAGTGGTCAACCTTTCTATCTAAATGACTCTGATTCTTGTACTGTTGATCAGATAAAGACAAGTGACCTCAGGTCATTAGGAGACAATGTTAAAGTGAGTACAAGAAAAGAATTGAAGCAAAGTGATGTTATTGTGTCTCCAATTTTCCCGATTAATATTAACCTTTTGTTTTTTTTCTCTATCATTTGTTGAACTCTCTTCTAGTTACTAGCAGTTATACAAAATCTCAGTCATGATTTAGTAACAAAAAGTGAAAACACCTACAAAAAATTGGATGAAATTCAGAGAGAAACTGAGGTATGAAACATAAACTAGCACAATAGAAGGACTTGTGTTGGGATCACTTTGGATATTAATCTTCTCTTTGGTTTTTTTCTCTACAGATAAAATCGGTGGGCGTTAAGAACCTTATCAATGAATTTCAGATGTTAGCTGACTCACAATTCATCGAGAATCGGATCTATGATGCTGATGAAAGTGACTCACCACCAGAAGAGTTTAATAAGAATATTATTGATGAAGAAAATAACAAAACACCAGCAGATCAGAAGATATTACCAATAATTCATGAGTGTATCTCACATAGTCTCAAGTTTATCGACGAAAATTTCAACTTTAATGATAAACCGTTGAAACAAACATCCGCTGAATCGGATGACGAAGAAGATTATGTCAAAGAAACACTAGCTAGAGCTATGGAGAGTAATCCTTTCAATAGAACACCTTTACCTGCTATTATTGGAAGTAAAGCGTTTTTTAGTCAGAACATTTTCGATGGTGGTGAAAATCATACTGAGAACAATCAAAACGACAACAATTCTACAATTTCATCTGACAGAAAGTCAAGTTTACAAAGTGATAATGAAGAAGAAGACGACGAGACACTTTTCTCTCCAAGCAAAGGTGTCTCAATTCAACATGGAATCATTCCTCCACCCCCACCCTTACCGAATTTTTCATATTTCGCCGATAGTAGAAAAGATATTGAAGATGACGAAGATGACGAGGATGAAGAATTATTCAAACAAACTGAAACTGAGCCGAAAAGTTTACAAGGGAAACTCCCTGAAATTAAACCAAATCAGAGCTGGAATCATGAAAGTGACCATGATAGTGATGATTCAGATGATCTTTTCAAACCTCCGCCTCAAATGAATCCCAGAAAGAGTTTGGAGTCAACAAAATTTCACCAACACCAACACCAAACCAATCAACATCTAAATCACCGGAAGCATTCAAGCCGTTAATCACTGCTCAAGATCTACTTAGCAAAATACCGCAGCTCAAAAAGAACCAAAGTTATGATAGTGAAGATGATGACGACGCAGAATTATTCAAGCCAGTGGCGAGTGATCTTAAAAATGTAAATAAAAATCTACCGGAGATTAGATCAAATAATAGTTGGAACCCAGATTATGATCATGACAGTGATGATTCTGATGATATGTTTGTGCCTCCACCTCAAGTTAACCCCAGAAAAAGCTTGGAATCATCAAAACCTACAATACCAACAAAACCAACAATAAAATCTGGAGAATCCCCGAGAAAATTACTTGAAGTCCAAACTATCAATATTTTCAATTCTGATGACTCAGATGATTCTGATGATCTGTTCAAGCCTCCCCCTCAAGTAAATCCCAGAAAAAGTTCTGCATCTAGACAAATGTCAACAGAATCAACAACCAAATCACCAGAAGTATTTAAACCGATAATAACTCCTCAGGATTTACTTAGTAAATTACCTCAGCTTAAAAAGAATCAGAGTCATGATAGTGGAAATGATAAAACTGAACCTAAAAGTGTACAGGAAAAAATGCCTGAAATTAAATCTACTCCGAGTTGGAATGACGATAGTGATGATTCTGACGACATGTTCAAACCTTCTCCTCCTCAAGTAATTCCCAGAAAAAGCTTGGAACCTTCAAAACCCTCATTAGCAACAAAACCAACGATAAAATCAGAAGAGTTACAAAGAAAACTTCCTGATATCAAATCAAATGATAGTTGGAAGGCTGAAAGTTATTTTGATGACTCTGATGATTCTGACGATTTGTTCAAGTTGCCACCGAAAGTAAATCCTAGAAAAAGTTTGAAATCCACAAAAATATCAACAGAATCAACATCCAAATCACCAGACGTAATCGAACCGTCAACTACTCCTCAAGCTTTACCTAGAAAATTACCTGAGCTTAAAACGGATCCAAATCATGATAGAGAAGATGATGAAGAATCATTCGAACCAACAAAAAACGTACACGAAATTCTTCCTGAAAGTAAATCAAATCCTAGTTGGATTCTGGATCCTGGTCATGATAGCGATGATTCTGATGATTTGTTCAAACCACCACCTCAAGTAAATCCTAGGAAAAGCTTGGAATCTAAAAAACTGCCACCAGAATCAACATCTAAATCACCTGAAATATTTAAGCCGTTAACCAATCCTCCAGGTTCGCTCAAAAAAATCCCGCAGCTTAAAACGAATCAGAATCATTATAGCGAAGATGATGATGATGAATATGAAGAAATATTCCAAGCAACACAAAAAGATCTCAAGAATTCACATAAAAATCTACCTGAGATAAAATCAAATAATAGTTGGAATCCTGATAGTGATTCAGACGATTCTGATGATCTATTCAAGTTGCCACCTCAAGTTAATCCAAGAAAAAGTATTGAATCTACAAAACCAACATTACCTACAACTCCGACGGTAAAATCTGAAGAGCAACCAAGGAAATTACCTGAAATCACCTCTACCAATACTTTGAACTTTGCCAGTGATTCTGATGATTCTGACGATCTGTTCAAACAGCCACCCCGAATAACACCTCGGAAGAGTTCGGACACAACCAGTCCTAAAGAAGTACCTGTAAAACTATTTGAAAACAAATTCGATCAAAGTTGGAACCTTGATAGTGACAGTGACGACGATCTATTTAAAATAAAAAAATGAAGCTGTAAAAATCTACAATTTATCTACAATAACATATTTTTATGTTTTAATTTTATTGATGAAATCACAATCATTAAGCTGTTGGTATGGTGAAATCGACACGCGAGCCCGTCGATCGATATTTGCAAACGTACAAAAGGAAAAGGCATAAAGACACTAACGAAATGGCCCCAACAATAATCAAAGGTCCAGCAAGAAAAGCGTCAAGTTTATCTTTTGTTGATCTTTTTTTCTCTGGTGCAGTTTTCGTCTTCTCATTTATTGATGATATTGTCGTTGGTAAATCTTTTTCGTCCTCGTCTTCATATTCATACATCGATGTTGATATTTCACTATTTTCCATTAATTTGGTTGTCGTTTCAATAATCTGATCAGTTAACTTGGTTGTTGAATTATCTTCAACTTGTCTGATTCTCCTGTTAATTGTCAATCTTGTATCGCCTTTGATTGTTTCTGATTGAAGAAAAAAAAACAATTAACCATCAGGTATACATTTGATAATTGTTATATCATAATTTACTAATTTAATCTGATTTAATTAACCTCCAAATTTTGTTAAATCAATAGATGGCGTTAGATTGTCTAACATAATCAAGTAAATAATCAATTTATTATTATTAACAATTTGTTAATAATCCAATACATATCTTGATTGTAATGGATCACTGATTGTTATATTGATCTTATCATTTAATTGCTATACATATTACTAATTATTCAAACTGATTAACAATTGAATAATGATTGAGTCGGATAAATTATTGATTCTGTTAAAAATGTCATAAAAATGAAATAATTCAAATGAGAAATTGATTATATTTCCTATTCTTGGCATTTAATAACATTTGATTGAACAATTTAATGGTAAAAAGCTCAACAATCAGATTAATAATTATGTATATTTATGGAAATTGATTAATCAGCTCATTTAAAATTAATAACAATTTAACCTACCTGGTTGTTGGTAATTTGGATTTAATATATTATTCAGTTGAAATGTGGATACAATTGGTAAATGTAATAGTGTTTGACAAAATAATAATAAAACACATAATGGATTAATCATGTTAACCATTTTAACTCAATTAAACAACAATTAACAATTAGAACTAAATTATTAACAAATAATCAAATTATAAACAAAGAGAAAGAGGAACAGGAAAAATAGCAAATTAACTCGAAGACTCAAACCGATAATTAGAAATCAGGTTAATTGTGTCTTCGTTTTTTTTTATCAGATTAATTGAGATTCTCTGAAACTCATACAATACACACGGAATTTATCATTATCCTAGGAGGAGGATGAAGAAGATGAGGATGAAAAATAAATTTTCAGAACAACTGAGATGAGAAAGTGATGAGGATGGAGAAGAAAAAAATAAACATGGAGAGAGAAAGTTTAGATTTGGTTTATTTTTAGAGAATCAAAAGTTCCAAGTTTCTTGTATCTCCATTTTCATGATGATGATGAACATAAAAAGAACTGAATCTTAAATGTAAACTTTTCTTCTTCATGATCAACAAGAGATGCGGAAAAAAAGTGCAATAAAATCATCATCTTTTTATCTCCATCCCACTCATCAGATGATCATCTCTCTTTTTTTTCTGGTAACTTTCCAATTTCCATATCATCATCCTCATCCTCATCCTCATCATCATCTTTATCCTTGATTAAAAACTGTTTTTAAAACATTGAAATATTTGCGTAATCAACAAACCACAAAAACGAGACTAATTAAAATTAACCCTCAAGAAAATCAAGAAAAACTTGATAAATATCACAAAAGTCGAGTATCGATTCTCATTGATAAAACTTTTACTATCAACTAATTGTACGCTCTGAGCAGTTAATCAAATAATACCTTTAATTATTAGGATATCATCATCATCTTGTTTACATTATCATTAACACAAATTGAAGAGGATTATGTTTTAATTGATTAAGATGACTAAGTATCAATATCATCATCATTTTGATATAATTCATTTGATGTAATATAACTTGGGATGAGGTGAAAAAAAAGGATGCGGACATTTTGTCAAACGATTATCAACCAATTTACCTTTTACCTTTTTATCAATGTAACTATTAACAGAAGCATTTGAAGGATGATAATGATGTTGATGATGATGATGAGGATGATAATCATTACGATCATCTTAAAGATTGTTGACAGAGTGTAAAAGACATGGAGCAAAATGTTACATGTATTAAGTGATGAAGTGACAAATCTACAATGGGAAGGCAACACTTTGAGACTATTAACTATCAAGGAAACAGTTAACTATTACCATTAAATCATCATTAACTTGAACCCAGAGCTAAAGGCTTATAACCTGAAGAAGATGAGGATGGAGAAGAAGAAGAAGAAGAAAAACTGAACGGAAACCCCCTACACCCAATGAACAAGAAGAAGATGATGATGATGATGATGATAATGAAGATGAGGATGAGGATGAGGATTGAGAATGGGATCTTGAAGCAACAGGAAGAGTTCAATTCAACCTTCTTGTTGCATTCATATTATCATCCTTATCATCCCTGTGCTTTTAACACTTGTATCAATATCTTTATCTTTATCTTCATTTTCATCATCATTATCATTATCATCCTCATCACACTCGGTGTTACCCAAGAAACAAGTCTACTCATCTTGTTCTCACTTTCTTTTTTGCTCACTTGATTATCTTCTGTCTGTGATTCTGATGATGGTGATGATCATGATGAGAGAAAAGGTTTTGAATATAATGATGATGATTCCTGAATTCCATCAACATCCCTTAGGTTTTTCAGATTGATTCTGATTTCACATTTCATCATCTTCGTCTTCATCAGTATATTTATCTCTCTCTCTCTCTCTCTCTCTCTCTCTCTCTCTCTGGATTTTATCACTTATATAAATTATAAAAGTCATTGAAAGACTAATCTAAATCTTGTCAAGTTAATCATCATCTCTTGTAAGCAATTAAAGTGTTAAAACTAAACAGTATCAATTGAATCAATTACAAGTTGACAGTTGAATTTATATTGTATAAACAACTGAAATCGGTTGAATCAATCTGCTTGAGACAATCAGCAATTAATCAACTAAACGATTTGATGAGATGAAAATTAAAATTTGAAAAAAAGTCACAACTTGATTGGATAAAATTGTGATATAGTTTTGATCCATTGGAAAGTTGGAACATAAATTTTGTTAATGTTACTTTTTTATGTTCATTTGAAAAAAAGGCAATTCAACCAATCAAATTTTTCCCCATGAAACGCATGAATTTTATAGGGAATTTGAAAATGGTTGAAATTTAAAGTATTTCGATTGGTTTAGAAAGTGGGAGATGCGCTTTGAAAAAATGGATTTTAATTCGCTCCCACCGAATGTAAAGTTTTAAATTACTGAGCAGGTTCTTGAAAAAAGAGGAGGATGAGGATGAAGAGGGTGGAAAATGACAATGATGAGAAGAGGGAGTGAGAGAGAAAGAAAGAGAGAGAGAGAGATGGAGGGAGAAAAGAATAAAAAAAAGTTTAACTTTGAAAACTTTTAGTTTTTCGATTCACTTGAACTCGATTCCTCTTCTTGGTCCGCATCACTTTTTCACCGTTTGTTCATCTTTATCCATATTTCCATCTGAATACCTGAAGATATTCATCATCTTACCTGGAAATCATCAAAGTGTCAATATTATCATTATTTTTTAGACACCAGACCCTGTGAATTGTTAATTCAATGAAGAGATTAAGTTGGATTAAGATTAATGTGTTACTTTTTTCACAAAGGGATTAACAATATATTTTGGATACAACTAACATGTTTAACTTTGGATAAGTTTTCATCAGTTTTTGGTGTTGAAAAATAAAAGTTACGATAAATTTTATGCAATCGGATTAACCTGTTTTTGCTTGTATCAATTTAATATGAATATTGTGAATTAATTTCAATGGTTAACTGATTTAAAGTTAATCCTCAACTATTTTGATACAAAGTTTATACACTTGGATTTATATTACATTTGATTTTCAACTTTGGGAATTTACCTTTACCTGGATACCATTGATTTACCTGGATTAATTCACCAAGTGATGAGAGTTGATGGATAAATTATCTGAGCTTAATTTACCACCCAGATGATTAACTCAATGTTATTACAGTAAAACCTTCTGATGGTTAATATTTAATTGTAATCAAAGTTAATTTTGAATCACGCAACATACAAAACGAGAGAGAGAGAGAGAGTTAATATCAATCTCGCTTTAAGGTTTAATCTTTATTCTTGAAATTGATTCAGATTATTATTATCAGAAAATAATGATGATAATAATGTGATAACTTTGATGGAGATTGATAAAAATTGTAGTAAGATAAGAGAGAGAGGGAGAGAGAGAGAAACAAAAGGAAAAGGAAACGGAAATGAAACGTCAATGATACTGCTGATGATGAAGATGCATAAGTTACCATGACTACAGTGTGAAAAAAATTCATTATTGTTTACAAATCTTCATCTCCAGTTAATATTGAACAATTTTCAGTGATTCATAATCAATAATCAAGAATTGTGAACAAAAGTTACTCAACAATTCGCCATCAAGATTATTCAGCTATTTACCCTGAAGGAAAAAGTGGAACTTGTTCTCTCTCTCTCTCTCTCTCTCTCTCTCTTCATCATATCAATATATAGATTCTGAATAAAAGACTAAAGTAATTAACAGAATGCCAAGAATTTAATTTACAATGATATTAGAATGACGATGATGATCACGTTGAAGGTTAGAATTGTAATTAAGCTTTTCTAAATCGAAATTGATTTGTTGGAATTTTTCATTACAACTTATTGAGAAAAAAAAGTTCGATTATATCTTAAAGGTCAATTTATCATTATTCTCATGAAGCATCTCATTAATTTCATTGAAAATTCATGGTAACTGACAGAATGAGAAGAGAGAAATTTTTTCGCCATCATAACAACCGAAAAAAAAGTTTTCTTTTCATAAAATGATGAAGTAACTTGAAGATTATGAGATTAAGATTAATGTTTGATGATGTTGATTGTTGATCATCATCATCAACAACAATCAACATCATGATCCAGCTAAACAAATCAAGTTGGACAAATGATTTGATAGATAAAATTAGTGATGATTGGAAATCGTGATTAGCATCAATAGTTAACATTTTATCAATGGTTAATCTTTTTTTCTTCTTCTCTTTTTCGAATAACTTTTTTTTTGTTTCTATTCGTACTTTTTGTCACCTAAAAGCTCAATAAGAGCTTATTGTCAACGCCTTTTCTCATCATCATCATCATCATCATTTTTCTGTCTTCCTCAATCATCATCACCATCACCTTTCATTTCATATCATTTACAGTAATTAAGTGTTTGATTCAGTTAAATGTTATCATCATTATCATCATTATTGTTATTACATATTGAACATTTTGCTCAACATCATTAACGACTTAATGACTAATCATTAAATCACAATTAACCAATAAAAAATCATGGTAACAATTTGATTGCGATTAGATCCACCCGATGGATAAGAGGAATGATGATGATGAGAAAACGGAGTGTGAGGATTGACAGAGGTGAGTGAGAGGAGGTGGAGGAAGAGGATGGACACGAGAATGACCAATTGTTTGCTACATGGAATTCATATCAAGAATAATAATTTGAAATTAATGAGAATCGAAACAATAATAATAACGATAATGATGGAGAGGAGAAGAAGAAAAAAAATATTCTCATTCTATTTTCATCTATTACTATTAATTTGCAATTACAATTGGATGAAATTAACTTTGATTACAACTGTTAACTATCAACAATTAGATTGTTCAACTATAATAATGTTCATTATGATCATTGAAACATTCTGATTAAATCTTTAATCTTAGTTAAAAGTAAATGATAAGAGTTTTGATAATCACCATGTTTTTGTTTTTCCAGACAAAAACTCAAAGGTTTTCCATTCATTGTGATTTCATGATTCTTGTTGTTATTCTTACTGAATAAGATGATTCTGAGTGATAATACTCGATGATGATGATGATGATGATGAAATTCTTTTTTTCAAAGAAAGAAAAGAAAGAGAAACAAGAAGATGAGAGGAAAGTCAGTGAAAAGATGAAACAAGAGATGCTACTTAAGGGAAAAAGTTCTGAAGAAAGTTTTTCGCTTTTCCATTAATAATGAATTGAAAAAATTCCGAAAAATGAGATAGAATGAGTAGTTCTATGAAAATGGAAGTTTTTACCATGAGATAATCGTTGAATCGTGTTTTTCTCACCTTTATAATTAGAATGAAGGAAGAAGATGAAGATGATAATAATGATGAGGAAGAAAAAGTAAAAGGTAAAATTGCAATATAAATTGAACAAGATAACGAGATTAACTTTTACCATGAAAATGTTGCGCTTCAATTTAACATGAAAACAAAAACAGAATCTATGGAATCATGAAAAATAGAGGAA